TGAACCCATACCCCAAGTATGAAGTTCCAGTGACTAGTAGTGTAGTAGATAGAGCCCGGACAAACTCTTTCTTTGATGTAGGTCAGAGTGACCTACTTTTGATACATGACACACCGCCTCACCAAGGTGAACCCATACCCCAAGTATGAAGTTCTAGTGACTAGTAAATATATAGTGTAAGAGATAGAGCCCGGACAAACTCTTTCTTTGATGTAGGTCTAATGTCAAAATGTAGGTCAGAGTGATGCCGGCAAAGAGGAAAAATAAGAACAAGGAGAAATTTTTGTGTGTATGTGTGTGTGCATGTGAATGTATGTTTTTGTCGTGTCATAAATATTATGTAAAAAATTGTGAAAAATAAACAATTACAAAAAAAACTATTATGACTAAAAAAAACACTACAGGACTTATACTGTGAAATACAGGAAATTTTAGTTTCTTTGAAGTTGTAAAAGCCCCAAAGAGACAGTGAAACAATGACTGTTTACAGAAAAGTGATAGTGTGTAATTTCCTGGACAGTTATAGGAAGACAGGGTTTGTTCAGACGTGACGGCTATCCACAAACTATTTAAGCTGAAGGTCAGTATCAGATAGTTATAATCTCTGATCTGGTTGAATGAGCCTACCTTGAATGGATCACCATTTTGTGTATTGTAATGTGTCGTACTGTATAATAGTACATCAAGGTTCAGGTGGTTTATACATACAATGTGTAATGATACATCAACAGCCATGTGTGAACGATCTGTAATTGTTTCCTGATGTATATAATTGTGATTTACTGATTTGTAATGTGATGTGGAAGAAGATGAATAAATCAATTAGATTTATGTCAAAACAACATGTGTGTCCCCTTGTTTATCTATTTCATTTACCAGCTGTGTATATACCTGTATTGTAGAAAAGATACAACACTTGGTACAGCATTGTTTTGCGGGATTATTCTAATGTATAAAATACTTATGTGGTATATTATAGGATATGCTTGAGGGAATATTAGGGATATTATCTAGTAATAGATACAATAGCTGCATGTGGTCCAGCATGGCTCATACTGGGGAAAAATTCTGTATTGTCATTTCATTTCTTCATGCACAATTTGTGTCTCAAGATTAAAATTCTGAGAATATATATTTTCAACACATAGCTCTATACATCTTTAAACATTCCACTGAATTCATTCAACTAAAGACACCAGTAATGTTTTCACAATTTATGGAAAGAAATGCACTGGTTACCCATGATATGCCAAATGCACTGCATAAAACAGGTCCCTGCACTGGTAGCAACCTAAGAAAATTGCTCATGGCTTATATGGATTTTAAGTAATCAAATATGTGTTGGGGGAAAAAAAGTTCACTTGCTGTGATCCATTGTTTTCACTAACACTTGAAAATCTAATAGATGTGCACTATATGAAGAAAAAAAAAGAAGGAAGCATACCCTTTTTTTTGTGGGGGGGGGGGGGATATTTTTTATGTGAACAATGTAGAAACAGTTTCAGCCTATATTTTGACAAATTTCAAATAATGAAATAAAATTAATTAGCTTTTCACTATAAATAAACAATTCAAAGCAAAACAAAATGTTATAATGTACAAAGTAAGCCTTATACATGTTGACAGATTGGCTTGTTTAATTAAGTCACAATGAATATTGCATTTAATATTTCATGTTTTGTATATTTCATGATTTATTGACACCCTGAACATTCCTGAATTGCAGTCAACAATTAAATGAATTCATAAACAACCACAAATGTTCAAGTTATAAAGCCACACCGTATAACTGAACATTAATTATTAATCAACAAGAGTACCACGGGGCGAAACAATATACGCCCGTCGAATGCCATATAGTGTTATATACTTTCTTACACTGAAATAAGATCTGCATCATTGTAAGAGTGGTTAGCTGACATGCTATAAAAAATGTAGGAGAAAATCTCCAGACAAAAAAAATCAAATACTGAAATGAGCACAGGGCTAATTTTGCAAAAATCGTTGAATCAAAATTCTTTTTAAGGGAGACACAACTTCAAGTTCATATCACGACGATAATGTATACCAAGTTTCAAAGAGATCCGTTGAAAAATGTAGGAGGAGATTGCCGGACAAAAATCAAATACTGAAATAAACAAAGGGCAATAACTTTTGCAAAAATTGTCGAATCAAAATTCTTTTCAAGGAAACACAACATACCAAGATTATTTAGCCTATTAAGTTCAAAGAAATCCGTCAAAAAATGTAGGAGGAGATTGCCGGACAAAAATCAAATACTGAAATGAACAAAGGGCAATCACTTCTGGAAAAATTGTCGAATCAAAATTCTTTTAAGGGAGACACAACTTCATATCATGATTATAATGTATAACAAGTTTCAAAGAGATCGGTCGAAAAATGTAGGAGGAGATTGCCAGACAAACAAAAGGTTACGCCGGACGGACGGAGAAACCCATATTAAACATAATACTCCCTTCAAATTTGACGGGCGTATAAAAACCTGTATTCCACTTGACATACGTTATGTTGAAGACAGCAGCTTTTGACTTCCATACAGTTATATACAGCTGTACCTCACGGAATTTTAAAGCCTCTATTTTTTAGGATTCAAACAATAAATTATTGAGCTTCAAAACCCCACCAGATCAGCCAGATAAACCAGGAAATATATCAATTACCCAGAATCAAAACACTTAAAAACTCTGTTTAAATGAGGAACATTCACACTGCCATTTATGGCTACCAGAGTATCAATGAAAAAGAATGATGCCTTTAGGTTGAATACTACTATAAATTTCAGAATCTCCTACCATAAAATAAAATACAGAAACTTGCTTTACGAAATAATTTACAGGAAATCCTTCTGTATGTAGCTAGCCTAATTTGTAAGCTTCAATATATGATCAATGATTTAGGAGGCACGGTAGTCTAGTGGTAGGACGCCAGGCTCGTGACCGAAGGCTTGCGATTCGAGTCAGGGCCCGGCACTGTGTTGTATCTTTGAGCAAGAAAATTTACTCCGCTTGTTCTAGTCTACTCAGCTGTAAATGAGTACGTGGCAGCACCGGCTGTATGCTCCCCAGGGAGTTGAGAAAGATATTGGCTGGTTGCAAAGGCCCTATAACCATGGATATTTAATTGTGAACCGCTTTGAGACGACCTACGCACTAGGTTGTGATAATTATTATTATTATTATTATCTACAGTGCATTATTTACCGAAAGTCTGTTTCTTGAGCTCAACCAGTCTTTCCTTTTTAGGTTCCATTTCCTAAAAAAAAAAAAATGTTATTCAAATTATCAATACTTACCCACTCCAGATAATCTTCATAATACATGTGTTTCATTTTTGAGGTATATGTGGGCTAATTACATAAGTCTCTATTCCTTATTACTAATGCTTGAGTTCTCTTCAAGAATTTTACTGCATTTTGAATTTTATAGGATTTCATTAGGCAATGAACACAAAGGGATCGGGGTCATTTTAATGCTTTTAACCCCTCACATAATTCTACACCAATGTATGATCACTAACAACAGAAGAATAAGAATATAAATAAGTGTCATGAAGCGGAATAGGATTCATCAAATCAATTTTGTAATTAAAGCAACTTGTAAATACTGTCAACATCACAGTTTTATATAACATACCTTTAGATTCTTCATTATCCCACTAACAAGTCCACACTGCTTGTCAAGTAAGTCCTTTAAATATCTGAAATAAAGTACTGTATAATGAAGCTGAATGCCTCAATGCTTAGACTATTACTTATAGTTTGCTCTCTCTCTATATATATATGCCTGTTTGACCAAGCTCACCTGTGATAGGCTATACAAGTGCATTGTACTTACATTAAAAGATCAAAATTGTTGATCCCGACTCTTGACAATTTGTAACCTTCTGATATTCAAAGAAATGAATTTATTCAAATTTCTTCTCTTCATAATTTAGAAAATAGAATTTTTCAAACTTAACCCTTTCACCACTGTGGACCATAATGGACCCCTCCATATCATTGCATGGTAGAGTCTACTAAAGTTACAAAGGGGTGAAAGGGTTAAAACAGTTTGTTTACAATGTTTATCCTTTGAAGTACTGGTAAGTGCATATAAAATATTAATAGATAAACTGCCTTGAGACTAACTTTACACAGACACCATCTGACAGACCTAGCCATTACTAAAAGTGATATTATCAGGACAGATTGCTTAATCAAATTATAATCCAGATGTCAAGGGAACAAACTCCAGCTGTACTGGAACAATACTTGTGTAAACAGAGAGAACCGGAGACCAATGTTTGTACTTACTTCACTCTTACAGCTTTCTTCTCTTTTTCCGCAGGGTCACTGTCATCTGATGTGGACTGTTCAAACAGCTGCTTTACAAGGAAGCTTCCCATCTGCATCCTGATTAAAATCATTGAGATTTATTATAGAATATTAGCAGTAACTTTAATATTCCATTTATATAAAATTGATTCCAACAGTCAAATATTTCTACTTTCTCTTCATTTTTGTTTTTCTCCAAAACATCTTTTCTAAATTGAGTTACAGTTAAAGGTTAGACAATTTTGTATTTACTTGTGACAGTCTTACAAAGGTAATGGTCCACGAACACAATAACGTCAAACAGGCCAAACATGAAATAGGAAATACCATGATTCTGGAATACACTGTCTTGTAATATATGTCACACTGTCTATAAAGTTTGTGTAAAAACACACTTCTTATTGTTGAGAGTTCATTAAGACCTACCTTTTTATGATGAGTTCCTTTTTATCTTTCTCAATATATTCATCTACAAGTTTCTTTTCCAAATCGGCCAATCTAAGCAAAAAGGACTTAAAATTAAATTATCCCTTTGATTACAATAACAAACCATGTATAGGCATGTAACTGTATGTAACATAAATACTGAGTGAATACTTGTAGAAAAAAAGGTCATCTTTAAAAGAATTCTCATTAAGAATGATAGTAGTAATGCAAATATAATATGTTACAATTTTATGCCCTGCGAATATCATGATTTTACATTAAAGTAATCAAAGGCTATCATATATAATCAGAATGTTTACAAGATTAGTCATAAGTGAACAAGAGTTCATGTAGCACTACTCATTTCCCTGATCAGTCATTTTTGTTTTAATAACAAAGCTTAATTTAGTATGATGCACAGTTGATGAAATGCTTTGTTTCAAATAACTTTGATTCAGAAAAGCAAATAAACCAAGCACTTTCGGTATGGATGGAGAGTACAGTGATTGAGTATCACAATGTATAGGCCAGTAGGAATTGTAGTTACTGCACGGAAAAAAATAATCTATTTAGGGTACTGGTAACCTTCACCTAATAACCTTCAGCCCTGAAAAACAACCCCAAGCAAGCACTTTATGTAAGAAGTTTCAATATTAACGGTCGATGCATGGGAACTTCAGCAATAGAAAAGAAATCAAAATTCTATCTTATATATAGTAAGTGACCTGGAACACTGATGTTTGACTAAAAAGGCAATCCCAGTCAAGCATTTAGAAAGCAAACTAAGAATTGTGATTGTTATTGGCAAACAGAAACTTGCATTATAATGCAGCAACCAATACTCTTGTTATAGTACTAGTAATCTAACCAGTGACCTTGACCTTGACCTTTAGACCTTTCACAAGCAACCACTTTCTGTAAGAAAGCAGTGTATGAACTGACATGTATTATCAGCTGATGAGAACTCGGGCTATTTAGTTGAAACCATGCTTTTTATTTATAGGTAGTGATTTTTCTACTTCCTTTCCACAGGGGCCTGTGCCTGTTGATTTGGGAAAATATCACCCACACAAAATCATGATTTTGGGAAAAATGTTATTTTCTTCATTTGATTTTGGGAAAAAAACCAGCACAAATTATCTTGGGGAAGAAGGGGCCCCAAATTAACCTTTAAAAAATCACTGATAAGTGACCATGACCTTGATCTATGACCTTTGAATTACTAACCAAAAGGAAATCCTGAGCAATATTTTTTTTTATCAGAAAGCAGTGTATGAAGTTTGACTTTAATTGGCTATTACAAACTTGAGTTTTGGACATGTAATTAATGCAATCCAAACCAAGCGCTTTTGGTAAGGAAGTAGTGTATGACGCATGGTTTGATTGTCCCTGGTAACACAATGCAAGCTATTGTGCAAAGACCAGATTCCCATTAAGTGACCTATATATTTGACCTGTGGACTTGAAAAGAAATCATAAGCTTTTAAGTCTGAGTAGATTTGGCTTAAAAGAATTCAAGCATAGGTGCGAAACCTGCTCCCCCCGCCCCCCAAAATAAAAACCCACCAACTACAACAAACCCAAAAGTTTTGATGGATAAATGCATATGAATTAGCATAATTACAATACCTGTTTCAATCTCAATCAAAGAAAATTAAATGAAATATTATATATCATGCCATGATTTCTTTGTTGATATTAGATTAAATTGATCAAAGTTAAGAATTATTTTATGAGTAATACATAGTCCCCCAACTCTGTACAAATTTTGCGATAAAAAATGAACAAAGGCCATAACTCTATAGTGAGGCAAAAATTCTAGTGTTAGCATGTAACACTCTCACATCTTAAGAGGTACTCGCATACATTTTCTGGCAATTGTGGGTGACAAGAGTATATGATATAATTATGTCACAAAGAAAGTGATGCATGGTGCACATAATGCATAACGCTGCATATATTGGGGAAAGAGAACCAATTTGTGTATGCAACACTCTGCCATTCTGACAGTTACGTATTATACATGTTCAATGTACTGACAAATACAAATTTGGCTATTGTAGATGGCAAAGTAAACGAGATCTGCCACAGAGAAAGTGGGACACTGACTGACTAATTGACAAAAGGAGTGTCAAAAGGAGTGATAACCCTCTGTCCTCTATCAGTAAGAAAATAACAAAAAAAAAACACCTTTAAAATGTTTGAAATTTTGCCAGTCTATATTTAACTTTCAACTTTTTCATGCCCCGTTTCCTGAGAGCCAATATTTGTACACAGCATATAAACCATCAACACTAATTACACGCGAAGGGCAAAATTCATATAAAATAAAAGTAGATTTGGTCTGGTAAGGGCGAGTGTCAGGCAAATTTTCACCAGTATATATATAGTAGATAGTTTGAATGTGTGCTTACATTTCTGTTTTTCCATCAGTCCCATCATCAGCTGAAGACTCTGGTTTTTTTTAAATAAACATGAAACACATCAGTCATGTATACAATTTCATACTAAATCTGTCATATTATGAACTCTAATAATTTAATTTGATCATCCAGTGTATCTCACTGCTGGTCCTAAGCAATATGCCGCTTTACTTCATCACCTGTTGTATTTTAACTCAAATATATATCAAACACCCTGTGTTTCTCCAAATCCGAATGAGTTCTTTGGTGTTTTCTTAAAGCAATAAATTTCCTACATGCATCAAACTTTCATAGTATAACTGCACCATTTGTGACCAACAAGTTGAATATGACACAATATAGCAAATAGTCTGAATTAGTCTTAGGTTTTATCGACTTTTTTTATATTGGTCTGGCGTCGATTGACGTCAGAACTCCAGCTCTCTATATAACATGCAGGGTCACTCTTCAAACTGATATTTTAGAAACAAATCGTCACTTTCACACACATACATTTTTTATTTTATTTTGTGTATGTGATTTTTCATCTGTTGAAAAAGCAATGCAAATTAAACTGACCTGCTAGTGTCTCAGCCCTATGGTTATCTATCTGAGCCTGGAGCCAGTTCTGTTTTGCTAGGAGAGTTGCACTTGTTTCCTGTTGGACATCCTCCGGAGGATCCACTGGTGTTGATGCCATCTGTTCGTGACGACCGCCACCAGCTACAGGAGAGATGTCCATCACTCGATCTCACTTGTGTCCTCGTCGTCTACATTGGAAATGCTTCATGTCTGAACAAATAAATAAAAACCAAAAAATAAACAAGAAAATTAAACCACATTCAATTCAAAAACTAGATGAAATGCAAAAACAAACCAGCCAAAAAAACTGACATTGGTTCTCATTATCACTAATTACTGTAGAAGTCAATAATGTGTGACTTGCATATATATGGAAACCAGGTTCATATAATACACACAAAAATCATTTACCTGAGAGGACCATAAATTTACTTTGTAAGTAACTACAATGAATTGCTATGAGAAATTTATAATTAACCTACAGTATATTTACATCAAAGTAAAAGGGGGATGAGCTTCAATTGGGAAATATTGAAGACTGTTGTGCCCATAAAACAATCATGAGCATGTTCAAATACCAAACATGTTTTATTGAAGTCTAGTCCGAGTTATTCTGACGTTTTATCGACTTTTTTCATATCGTTCTGTTGTCGATTAACGTAAGAACTCTGGCCCTCTATAATATGCGGGAAATATGCGACCCGCGCCCGGAGCGCACTTCAAACCGATATTTAAAAATTTTTATTCAAAAAAGCCACATCTTAGGTGGGCAACACAGATTTATAGCCATTTATAATATTTTAGATACCCAGCTGCCGGGAATAGCATTTGCCAAGTAAAATGTGACACTAACTTACACAAACTGATCACAGGGACCTGATAATTTGTAACAGCTATATTTGGGGTTGTGGTAAAAGCCGAAAAGTGTCGAAAAGTAGTGGAATTTTCCCTAAATTTCTAGTTATTTGTGAAAACCCGTGATTTTCACGGTTGACTTCGGCGTACAAGTTTTACCCCCTTGAAATACACATTATCACCGATTTCTAAATTATTAGATGATAAATAAACATTTTTGTAATTGTCACATTTAGAAAATAATGTTTGAAATTATTCTATATTTTTATAAAAAAATATAAACTATCGCGTTAATGAGATATTAAAATATCTTTATATTCCCGGTACGAGGTTTCAGTCCGGGTCCGGGAACGGGGTACAAGATTTACCTACCACCTGTTTACATAGCAAGTGACAAGCTGCATAACACGTTGACAACCAGTCGCCACGACGAATCACCCACTGTCGACGTGTTGGCACTGTCTGCTTAGTGAAACATTTCTTTGAGTAATTTAAGTATATCGTTTTTTACCTATCCCCAAAAGTCATCGTGGTGTTTATTTCTTTTTCCCGCTTCCCTTTTCCGGTGTCTTGGTCATTATAATGTTTTTACGGTTCTATGTTGTAGCGTTATGAACAAGCGCCTAAAAGATAACTGTTTACATGTTTTAATGGTAAGCGGCAAATATAAAACAACTCAGAAGTTCGTCCAATGATCTACCAGTAGACCGCTGACTTTGTGGCACACGTTTCAAACAAATGGATGAAATAATTTAATCTAAGATAGCAATAATTATCAAAGGTTTGTTGGATACTGTATAGAGAACACAAAGTTATCAAGTTTTAAAGTCGGTGGAGTTGTGTGAAGCTGTGATAAACACGCACTGGGTTACAGGTGCTCGATACATACAGAACTAGCAACAATAAAGGGGGAATAAATGAAAACAATAGATACGCAATATTGCTGTCAATTGTTATATGTAATTGAGTATTTATTGAAATCTGTTATCGTTGCTAGCCCACTACACAGTTCAAGGGAAATAACCATTGCTTAAACTGGTAATTACTAATTAGGCCAAACAAAATATATTTGGTGTTTCCGGTAACCCTAATTTGTTGTGCCTATCCTAAACTTTTTAAGACAATTTTCAAAGAAGCACGGTTAAAGTCAAGATCACTCTTCTTTATAAACCATATAAAATTATTTGTTAAAATAAAAATCAATTACCAATACCTACATGTACCTACCCTAATTTTTTCCAACATGTTGCAGGAAAAAAACATATTTTTTAGTCTGTCCTTATGTGATTTGTATATTGACAAATATAGAAACAACATTGAATAATTCAATTATATGCATGATACGTGCATTATAATGCGGTATTCTGTGCATAGATGTTAACTCAAATTGGTAACTGTTAACCAAAGACATTAGATCAGATTTTCTATCTATGTCAATATTAAAGTAAACCATGTTGTTATACCCAAATGCAGGATTATTACCGATATGCGCCGTGGTGCTCAACCTGTTGATGGCTAATACTGAACAATGCATTAAAAAGTTTCAATCATTGCCATTTTTTACATTTAAACCATTTTTAAAAAAACGGTCTTGTTTTCAGTAGGTCATCAAGAACATTAATTACATCTACAATGTACAATATTCCACAGTTCACTGAACTCAATGTCAAAATTTTCCTTATTTTCACAAATTTTCTCAATTCCTGTGATGATGATACTGTGTAAGGTGAGGAAAATTATCTTGGTGATATACATTTTGTATGTATACTTAAATACCATTGGCCTTATATTTAATGTTGATTCCTTTAAATTTGGTTTAAATGACTTTGTTTGCCCAGCTGGAGAAGTCTTTGTTTTTTTATCAAGGTAGATTCACTAGCTGTCTCTAATATCCCCAAATTAATGTTAGCAGGAAATAAACTGCTGAGGTTAATGCTTATCAGGATATTTACTGGTGGATCAGGTCTTGTCAATTTTTTTTTTTTTTTTTTAAGGGACCTGAAAATATGTTGGCGGTAATTATATATAAGTGAGGTGTCAAATGAAATGATGCACATTAGTTTTATTGTATATTTGTTTCTATTGCTATTTGCTGTCTTACAACATATATCATCAATAGGCAAGCTATGCTGTTCTCCAACAGCTCTTGTTTGAGTTGAAGTAAACTGATCAGCGACATTTATGTATACATGCAAACATGTCCATTTTTGTATGTGCAAGATCAGTGAGTCCTGAGCTTTACCATTGGTGTAAACTGTCTTGTCAACTTGGTGTTTAGAGTCTGTACCAAGGTTTCCCAAAGAAGTCACCTTATACTATTGGAAACTTTGGTGAATATTCATTCAGAGTAATTACCACAGTGCTGGTGTAAATGTAGCTATGTGAGAAATTGGAAAAAGCCAGCTGAGCATTTTTGGCAAATGTGTATTTAATTACCAGAATAGCTATTTATCGATCTGTACCAGTAAAACTTGAAACTGAATAATCAAAGGTTAATCAAACTGATCTCGTCTTTGATTTGATCGATAAGGTTTAAACATTTCAATCATTAAGTGTTATTAATTATATCATCATTTATTTACAGTAATTCTAATATTTGATTGTTTGTTTTAGCTCCGAAATGGCCCGAACTAACCAAGAAACTCCAGGGTCTGCCAGGACCAAGGCCTTGACTAAAGAGGCAAATGGCTCCACTCCTCGTAGGGCCCGAACTCCAGACTCCAACAGCTTTGGCTATCTCAGACAGAGGCTAGAAAGAAAAAGTGTTACTAGAAATCCCATTCAAAAGTTGGGAGAAGATGATAGTTTCCAAGCAAAGACAAGTCCTACTCTAGAAAGGTTAAGAATGACACCTGGTAAATATTCCTACCATAGACTACTATAATGCTTAAACCAGATATATATTTTGTTTTTACGATTTTGAGCATTAATTGATACAGACTGTTTCAGAATCAGTATCACAAAGCATTTTATAGAAAACTTAATAGTAATTATATAAGTACAGTATCATAAAGCGTTGTTAAGAAAAGTTACCGGTATGCAAAACCGCAATATATGTTTAATATATTGTGACTCACTTATGTTCCTGTTGATTTGTGTAAAAAACAACATATTCATACACAATTCAGCAAATCGTTTACATTTTCATAAATTCAAGATGGTAGGAAAAAATTGTAAATTTTATCACCAGGGCTGTTTTATTTATTAAGATTTCTTTTTTCCATTTAAGAAGTAGGAACAGACCTGATGGTCTGCTGCACTCTCCTACACAACTTTGTCATTGACAGTTTCCATGCATGTCACCATTATTGTAGGTCAATTTTGACTTACCCTCAAAAAGTTGTACATTGTTCGACCAAATCATTTTAATGTTCGTCACAGAAACAACAACTTGACATCTGCATTTCAATATTCAGGCAGAGTGTTCAAAGATCGTCAGACCTTGATAATGAAGCATGCTGAAGCAAAGGACAAGGTGGACAGTATTGGTGTAGGAGGGGGCGTGGCTATGTGGCCAGAGATGGAGAGGATGAGACTATCTCGAGGGGATACCATACAGATTGTTGTTGTTGTTGTCACACTGTGCAGTACTGTGACTGGCATTTTTAATTATCTACATGGTAAGTATTTCCTTTGGTATTGTGCTATGTAGTTGTAATTTGATTATTAGTTGGATGTGTTAATTGTATTTACTACTTGTCAGTGATCTACCTTCTTACTGATGTTACAGTGTGAGATCTTAACAGTATTACAGTTTTATACATGTTTATATTTGTCAGAAAGAATAGTTTGTTAAAAAATTTGAAACCTGTGTAAGCAAAAATAGAAAACATGAATATAATTAATGTATGCCTTTAGGAATGACAAATATTTTCTTGTGTGGTTATGCTGTATATCGTAAAAAAAAATGTACACTTTGCATTCCATCTAAAAAGTTGGCATGTACATTATTTCAGTGGATAAATTAACAACTTACAAAGTTAACAACTAACAAATTGTTATTCGTTTTGGATAAAAGAAAAAATAGTGTGAATTCAGTTTATTTTGTCATCATCACTAGACAAATCAGAAATGAGCATTTAAGAAATGTTTTTTTTTTGAGATTAATACATGTCACAAAAACATTGGCAATGCTTTAACAGGCTAAACCAAATGATTAAGAAAGTCAATGGGATGTGGCTGGTGACAAAAGATGTTTCGTAAAGATGACTATTGATGATTGTTATTTATCAATCCTAGTTATCTTAGTATTTGTAGCTTTGTAGATAATAGTTATAAATAATTAAATTTCAATAATATGAAACAAAAATACAATGAAATAACATCCTAGAGTAGATGTGCTATTTCAAAATACTGTACCAGTAAATGCTTTACTAGAAAAGTGAAAATAAAAATGATGAATAATAAAGGTTGATTTGTTTTGCTCTTGATGAAAGGGGAGACAATCTCTACATTACTTCTCTTGTCTCTATAATACAGGTGCTGTGATATCTAGGTTATTGTTTTATTATGGGAAGCTGAAGACACATCATCCCTCCCACCCTGTTACTATGACAACACAAAAAGGGTTCAACACCAGCCTCATTAGCTGGCATCAGGACTTCAGCCAGTTACTGGTAAATTTCTAAATCAACCATGTTCCTGAAAATCTTTTATGTAAGCTTGTGTTGTTCAGTGTAGAGACATTCTTCTCAACTGGATGCAATGTTGTTCCGTTCATTAAATAAATAGCAGTAAAGATACTTATTTCTCTATTAAAAATATGTATGATAATTTATTAAGTAATAATTATTATTGCACTCAACTTATATTTTTAATCAGAAAAACTGCTTTAAAAAAATATGGCTTCTTTAAATGAAATTATATATATTATAACAGTTAATGATATAGAAAATAATCTCAAAATTAACTCAAAAGGGCAGTCACAAAAACTGAAGCACTGACTTTTTGATACCGGTAGGTGTAAATTTACTTTTCAGAAAGACCTCCACCACAGCTTTGACCAGAGCAGTGTACCCCTTACCTATCCTGTGTACATATGCTGCTACACAGCAGGGCTTGGGACTCTGGTGTACTATCTCTATGATAGTATGTTTGCCAAAAATAAACTCTCACCAAAAAGGATAAAGAAATGGTAAATAGTACATGTATTGCGATTCTTTTGTAGAAACAACCATGGTATTCCATTGAAAATCATGTTGATGAAATAGTTAAATTTACAATTTTTTTCACATGCATGTAGGATGTGCCTGCTTTATATTGTGATTTGGATGTATTAGACATTGTAGTAGAGAAGATAATCTGATCAGATAATGCTCACATCATTTAACATCAGGTCATATCAGCTTCTGTGGGCAAATTATTTGCTCCTGTGTTGCTATGCTATCATGAGAAAATCCTTTGATGACAAAGCTCAAATGCTGCTCATGAGCAAACTCGTCATTTATGTGCTGCATGAAGGGAAATGTAAGAATATTTTGTTGAGGTTATTTCTTCAGGTATCTGTTGACCAGGATTAGGATTTATTGACCTTATTAATGTCTGGTGTAACTGTTGACCAGGATTAGGATTTATTGACCTTATTAATGTTTGGTGTGACTGTTGACCAGGATTAGGATTTATTGACCTTATTAATGTCTGGTGTGACTGTTGACCAGGATTAGGATTTATTGGCCTTATTAATGTCTGGGGTGACTGTTGATCATGATTAGGATTTATTGACCTTATTAATGTCTGGTGTAACTGTTGACCAGGATTAGGATTTATTTACCTTATTAATGTCTGGTGTGACTGTTGATCATGATCAGGATTTATTGACCTTATTAATGTCTGGTGTGACTGTTGACCAGGATTAGGATTTATTTACCTTATTAATGTCTGGTGTGACTGTTGATCATGATCAGGATTTATTGACCTTATTAATGTCTGGTGTGACTGTTGATCATGAATAGGATTTATTGACCTTATTAATGTTTGGTGTGACTGTTGATCATGATTAGGATTTATTGACCTTATTAATGTCTGGTGTGACTGTTGATCATGATAAGGATTTATTGACCTTATTAATGTCTGGGGTGACTGTTGACCAGGATTAGGATTTATTTATCTTATTAATGTCTGGTGTGACTGTTGATCATGAATAGGATTTATTGACCTTATTAATGTTTGGTTTGACTGTTGATCATGATTAGGATTTATTGAGCTTATTAATGTCTGGTGTGACTGTTGACCAGGATTAGGATTTATTGGCCTTATTAATGTGTGGTGTGACTGTTGACCAGGATTAGGATTTATTTACCTTATTAATGTCTGGTGTGACTGTTGATCATGATTAGGATTTATTGACCTTATTAATGTCTGGTGTGGCTGTTGATCATAATAAGGATTTATTGACCTTATTAATTTCTGGTGTGACTGTTGATCATGATCAGGATTTATTGACCTTATTAATGTTTGGTGTGACTGTTGACCAGGATTAGGATTTATTTATCTTATTAATGTCTGGTGTGACTGTTGACCGGGATTAGGATTTATTGGCCTTATTAATGTCTGGTGTGACTGTTGACCGGGATTAGGATTTATTGGCCTTATTAATGTCTGGTGTGACTGTTGATCATGGTAAGGATTTATTGACCTTATTAATGTCTGGTGTGACTGTTGATCATGATAAGGATTTATTGACCTTATTTATGTCTGGTGTGACTGTTGATCATGATTTAACAGTGATCAGTCTACATACGAGTCCCGAGTCCTTTACTCATAGAATTTTGATGGGACTCGTAGCATTTTATGGAAATACTTAGATTTAACATTTTGCAACCCACTTTGGACCCATGAAAATAAATTGTAGATTGATCACTGTGATCAGGATGTAATTTAATACCTAGCTATTTTTGTACGGTATGCCTGTTGATTGTTATCAAGACAATTGACCTTTCTTTATGATAGGGTGAGTATGGCCGTTTTCATTTATTGCGGTCCAAAAGTTTGAACTGGTTGACCCAGAGTTGTTTGTTTATGACATAAGGTCAGACCCAGTAATCTGATGTTGCTTTCTGGCTAGCCTTAACCAAGCCTTGCAAGGCCTGCATAAACTTTTGCAGGTCCGCCAGGATTTATACCGGAAAATGTTACATTTAAAAAAACAGACATAGTACCGGTTGTTTCGCATAAACAAACAGGCCCTGTATCAACCATAATGGGTACCTGTGGACATATTTACAACCTGCTGATCATGATGTGTTTGATAATTCTCTCCTGTAGGGTGTGCTTGTTGACTGTGATCGGGACATGGACACTGGCCTTGGCTGGCCTGCTGGTGTGTGCCTACCTGGTGGAGACAACCATTCAGATCAACATCCACCTCCTTGGGGAAGTATTGGTCAGTAGTTTGAAACCACCCATATACATGTTCTACAGCTTTGCGTGTACTTACTTTAAAAACTGTACATAAGTTTTATTTTCTAAACAAAAGAAAGAGAATATGTAGTTTTTAATTTCATATCTTTGAGTCATTGTCAGGTACCTATGTTAAATTTGAATCACACCTTACTGTGAAATACAATATAAATAAACGTGAAATATCTGTATTCAGTATTTGAATTTATGTTTTGTAACTGTAACCGATCTGATTTTAATATCATGTTGGAAAAAAATATCATAATTAATTTGATATATGAAAATATCTCCAGAAATGTTTTCAAGAAAAGTTTATTAAATATTTTTAAGTCTTATCCTTTAAACGGAACATTTGTTTTGATATCTTTTTAGGCACATTTTTAATGTATTCACCTGTTGTTGGTATTTTAAAATCAATATGAATTAAAGTTACTAGTTCATTATGTTCAACTTGTTCTTATAGTGTTAGAGATCGAATTAATCTTAAAAGTAGGAAATTAAGTTAGAAATAAATATGCCGTACCATATAATCATATGAATTTTTAATAATAAGTGTAAACAAAATAGTTTTACTTAATCAAAGTATTAAAAAAAGATTTTGGCATTACGAATAGAAATTTCGAACTTTGACCAGTAATATAATCGCTGAACATCAGATGTTTTTCTTTCATCAATTGGTTGTAATCTTTGTGTTTTGAATTTTGCTTGAAAAAATTACATGTAATCTTCTGAAACTCAAAGAAGATAAAAACACTCTTACCTGCAGGGAGAGGCTGTAACCACTGACCTTGACCTCACAACACTTGGGCATATGCTGGATTACTGGAAGATGCGATGCCTGCCTCCGACGACGGAAGGGATGCTGACCATCTTAGGGATTGTGGCGGTCAAGGACGTTATGTATTACCTGCAGTACTACAGTTTACCTATTATCACCATCCTCTTGACACCTGTGTTTAAACTCATTATGTCCCTGTACACCATATATAACATTAAAAGACACTGACCCTTATCAGATCTATAGCTTTTATATGTACCTGTATATATACATACATATATCGGTGTATGATACCGTTAACACCTGTAACAGTACTAAGGCATACCTGTATACATATACTTTTACCTGTGTACAATATGGTTCACCCTTGTTCACCCTTGGATAATATATCTTTATGTGATTTGGTTTCATACCTATATCAGTTCTTTTACTTCTTCAATATAATTACAACTTTTCAATTGTAAGTGCTTGCATATCGTCCTCCATATTTTTCAATGTGAAGTGTTTGTATCTGATCCCCATGTTTTGAAAATGGTGCTGCTTGTTGAATATATATTAAAAGTGTAAAAACAAATTTTTCAATGAAGGTTTTATATTAAACCTTTTGTAAAAGGGTGCTATTCACAAGTGCTAGTGATGGTTCTTTTATTCTTCTATTCTTTCTCTCAGGGCAGCCCTCAATTTGTGTTTAATGTTTGTATTTGAAATGAAATGAAAATGAAATAGCAATAGGTGGGACAACATCGGTAAGCTTAAAGTTGTCGATGTTCCTAAAAAACTGTCCTTTATATAATAATAATTTGAGGTTCTTATATACTGCTTTATCACAAACTAGTTTGTAGGTTGTCTCAAAGCAGTTCACAAATTATCATCCGTGGTTATAGGGCCTTTGCAACCAGCCAATACCTTTCTCAACTCCCTGGGGAGCATACAGCCAGAGCTGCCATTTCGGCGCTAACAGCTAGCATTCAACAATTCTAGCACTGCCCAACCACGTACTCCTTTACAGCTGAGTAGACTGGAACAAGCGGAGTAAAGTATCTTGCTCAAAGAAACAACACAATACTGTGCCTGGCGTCCTACCACTAGACTACCGTGCCTCCAATATAGAAACACACACTAACACTATAATGACTATTATGTAACAATATGTAATATAATTTACTTCAATGATTGAATGTATAAGTATTTATTTCACAAATGGTTGTGTACAATATACATGTATACACTATATGTGTATTGTATCATTTCAATATACCAATGGTCAAGATAATGTGATAAACAGCAGTTTGTGAAAAGAAAACCACACTTCCATGCACAGTGTATCACATCGTGATGTTTCCTGTCACTAGTAGACTGTATCAGTCCCTCCAAGATAGCTTATTGAATATCATGTTCTGCTTTACCCAAGCCCTCTATATATAGTATTATATACTTTGACCTGTGATGATTATATGAAGTTTTCTTTATAAAAACATGTTATTCCTCCATACAGCTGTATTTTGTGTAGTAAATGTATAAAGGGTATTGTATTTTGATTGTGAGGGTTTTTAATTTCTTATGAATTTGTTGTCTACGGGCCTGTTCATTTATGCGGAACAACCAGTTTGTCCGTTTTTAAATGTAACAAATTCGGTTATTAATCCTGGCGGATCTGCAAATGATTATGCAAGCCTTGCAAGGCTTTGTCAAGGCTCGCCTGAAAGCAGCATCAGATTACTAGGTCCAACATTATTTAATAAACGAACAACTGTGGTCCGACCGGTTGAACCGTTTAAACGAAAAAAAACTAGTTGTATGAATATAACACAATTACTGCCATATCTCTGGCCTGAAGCACACTCTGGTTTCCCTTGGTATATTTACACACTCATGAGAGTTGAACACTGATACTTTACATTGTACATATTATATAATACATTATATGTAATTTCTGTCCATAATGAGGTTGTGATCTGATGAATATTGAAATGAGAAAAATCCTGCATTACAAAGAATTTGAAATCCTTTTTTTTTTTGTAAATAAGTTTTAGTGACATTAATTTTAATACATGTAGAAACTCGCCTAATGTTGTACATTGTGCATGTAATGGCCTTTCAGGTGAGACACGTGTGCATTGGAGCAAATTGTATAAGTGCTACACCAACCAAACTTGAACCATAGATGCATCTTAGGTAGTACATCTCACCCCATGCATCAAATCCTGGATGCGGCCTACTTTTCACGGTCCATTAATTTTGTCAGCGTCTCCATCAACAATAAGTTTTTGCGTTGAAGTTAGTTTCTCTGAAACTTTAAGTGCTAGATCTACCAAACTTGACATGTACATTGATGGTCAAAACAGGGGGAAAGCGAGACATGCCAATCAAAATGGCTTGTTTATATCTACTCTAACTGAATGCAGACAAAACTGGTAAATGTGCCAGCCCATTTAAAATGCACAGATGTAATTCGAAAGTGGCTTATAAAGTTTTTCCTTAATATTTTAGTATACTGTTGCAAAGTTTCGAGATTCCAAGGCTTGGCACAAAGTGCCTGTGATCTTCTGCTCTTGTGCTGCATCATGTCTGTTTATCAATCGCCCATCAGCTTTTCTTTCAAGCAACGTTATGCTATGGATCATTCTCATGTACTAGGAGTCATTGTTAGTCTATACACAGGGCCACGTTACAAATGTCTGAAATACACATATGCTATACTGATACGGGTCACAACACACATATATGTTATACGGGGCAAAACACACATAAACATATATGTGTGTTGTGACCCGTATCAATATAGCATATGTGTATTTCAGACTGTTGTAACGTGACCATGTGGTCTATATGAATAACCTTGACTAACTTTCAAAGTTACAAATCGAACAATCGCGAAAGAAACGCAATACCCAGAGTTCCGATGTTTTAGTCTGTAGCTATGACAGGCTGGAACCAGTGGAGGGCTATCAAATTGTTCACATTAATGGCATTGACCTATTTTCAAGGTGACATTAGGACAAGCACATGTATGTTAATTAACTTGAAAAGACATATTTAAAAAAAACTTAATTCCTGGAGCCTTGATATTAAGCCTGTAGCTTGCTGAAGGAAGGACTTTTATGTGTGTGCAAATATATGATGTGGACCTACTTTAATGCCCTATCGATGTTAAAAATTAATGTGTAAAAAATTTGATTACAGTGCTCCTCGAAGGAGTCACAAAACCGAACACATTCGTACAGTTACCTATTAAACATACCTTCTACTGTCTGTTGTCATACAATGATTGAGACAGGCTGTATGGACCCATTGTTACAAATGTCAAGAATAAGCTAAGCTATGAAAAAATTCTTCCGATTGTTCGGTAAAATGAACCATATATATATATATATATATAAAGACACAAATATCATGTGAAATAACTATATATAACTATTGTGAAAATAAAAAATATTTATTTTTAATTCAGTAGTTTATTTTTTCTTACCATGTACCAGCTTCACATGTACACTGTGAATCCTGTTGTATCTGACCCTGAATTTATTGCTGTCTAGTCCGACGCGATTCTTTTTCTACCATTTCATAATTTGTCCAATGTATATTATTTAGTGCGTAATGGGTAAAACAGTTATTTTAAAAAGTTTTGCAAATCAATGTTCATTACATGTATTGACTTTAGCATCTCCCTCTTATTTCCATGCAAGCTGTATGATCTTAAATCGATTTAGATTCAGACTATGTCAAAATTATAATATTACTGAAATCTGATTTTACATGCAAGCACAAGGATATATATATATGATTTTTCTAAATTTTGACTAATTTCTAAAAGAAAACCTGCGCATGCTATTTAAAACTGAAATTTCAATTTTAGTCTAGCTGTACCGCTTTATGATCAAGTGCACTAGTTATCCAATTTAGTTGGCCTTATCTTATAATGTGATCTCTAAAAACCATCCAGTAGACTAGTTATCCATTTCAATATGGCCCTATATGTGTGATTTCTGTAAACAACCAGTGGATTATTAATCCATATCAATATCTCTGCAAACCATCCAGTGTATTAGTAATCCATTTCAATATGGTTCTATATATGTGATCTCTGCCAACCATCCAGTGGATTAGTAATCCATTTCAGTATGGTCCTATATATGTGATCTCTGCCAACCGTCCAGTACAGTGGATTAGTAAACCATTTCAATATGGCCCTTTATACGAGATCACTGCCAACCGTCCAGTTGATTAGTAATCCATTTCATTATGGTCCTATATATGTGATCTCTTCCAACCGTCCAGTGGATAAGTAATCCATTTCAATGTGGCCCTATATATGTGATATCTACCAACTGTCCAATGGATAAGTAACCCATTTCAATGTAGCCCTATATATATGTGATCTCTTCCAACCGTCCAGTGGATTAGTAATCCATTTCATTATGGTTTGATATATGTGATCTCTACCATTTGTCCAGTACAATGATTAGTAATCCATTTCAATATGGCCCAATATATGTGATCTCTGCCAACCATCCAATGGATTAGTAATCCATTTCATTATGGTACTATGTTTATGTGATCTCTGCCAACTGTCCAGTGGATTAGTAATCCATTTCAATATGGCCCTATATATGTGATCTCTACCAACCATTCAATGGATTAGTAATCCATTTCAATATAGCCCTACATATGTGATCTCTGCCAACTGTCAAGTGGATTATACTAATTAGTAATCCATTTCAATATGGTCCTATATATATATGTGATCTCTGCCAACCATCCAGTGGATTAGTAATCCATTTCAATGTGGCCCTATATATATATGTGATCTCTGCCAACCATCCAGTGGATTAGTAATCCATTTCAATATGGTCCTCTATATATGTGATATCTGCCAACCGCCCAGTGAATTAGTAATCCCTTTCAATGTGGCCCTATATATATGTGATCTCTGCCAACCATCCAGGGGATTAGTAATCCATTTCAATATGGTCCTATATATATATGTGATCTCTGCCAACCATCCAGTGGATTAGTAATCCATTTCAATATGGTCCTCTATATATGTGATCTCTGCCAACCGTCCAGTGAATTAGTAATCCCTTTCAATATGGCCCTGTATATGTGATCTCTGTCAACCGTCCAGTGGATTAGTAATCCATTTCAATATGGCCCTACATATGTGATTTCTGCTAATTGTCCAATCGATAAGAAATCCATTTCAATATGGCCCTATATATGTGATCTCTGCCAACCGTCCAGTACAGTGGATTAGTAAACCATTTCAATTTTTTTATATGAGATCACTGCCAACCGTCCAGTTGATTAGTAATCCATTTCATTATAGTCCTATATATGTGATATCTGCCAACCGTCCAGTACAGTGGATTAGTAAACCATTTCAATAGGGCCCTTTATATGAGATCACTGCCAACCGTCCAGTTGATTAGTAATCCATTTCATTATAGTCCTATATATGTGATATCTGCCAACCGTCCAGTACAGTGGATTAGTAAACCATTTCAATAGGGCCCTTTATATGAGATCACTGCCAACCGTCCAGTTGATTAGTAATCCATTTCATTATGGTCCTATATATGTGATCTCTGCCAACCGTCCAGTGGATAAGTAATCCATTTCAATATGGCCCTATATATGTGATCTCTGCCAACCGTCCAGTGGATTAGTAATCCATTTCAATGTGGCCCTATATATGTGATCTCTGCCAACTGTCCAATGGATTAGTAACCCATTTCAATGTAGCCCTATATATTTGTGATCTCTTCCAACCGTCCAGTGGATTAGTAATCCATTTCATTATGGTTTGATATATGTGATCTCTGCCATTTGTCCAGTACAATGATTAGTAATCCATTTCAATATGGCCCAATATATGTGATCTCTGCCAACCATCCAATGGATTAGTAATCCATTTCATTATGGTACTATGTATATGTGATCTCTGCCAACTGTCCAATGGATTAGTATTCCATTTCAATATGGTCATATATATGTGATATCTGCCAACCGTCCAGTGGATCAGTAATCCATTTCAATATGGCCCTTTATATGAGATCACTTCCAACCGTCCAGTTGATTAGTAATCCATTTCATTATAGTCCTATATATGTGATCTTTGCCAACCGTCCAGTACAGTGGATTAGTAAACCATTTCGATATGGCCCTTTATACGAGATCACTGCCAACCGTCCAGTTGATTAGTAATCCATTTCATTATGGTCCTATATATGTGATCTCTTCCAACCGTCCAGTGGATAAGTAATCCATTTCAATGTGGCTCTATATATGTGATCTCTGCCAACCGTCCAATGGATTAGTAATCCATTTCATTATGGTCCTATATATGTGATCTCTGCCAACCGTCCAGTGGATAAGTAATCCATTTCAATGTGGCCCTATATATGTGATCTCTGCCAACTGTCCAATGGATTAGTAACCCATTTCAATGTAGCCCTATATATATGTGATCTCTTCCAACCGTCCAGTGGATTAGTAATCCATTTCATTATGATTTGATATATGAGATCTCTGCCATTTGTCCAGTACAATGATTAGTAATCCCTTTCAATATGGCCCAATATATGTGATCTCTGCCAACCATGCAATGGATTAGTAATCCATTTCATTATGGTACTATGTATATGTGGTCTCTGCCAACTGTCCAATGGATTAGTATTCCATTTCAATATGGTCATATATGTGTGATCTCTGCCAACCGTCCAGTACAGTGGATTAGTAATCCACTTCAATATGGCCCTTTTTATATGTGATGTGATCTCTGCCAACCGTCCAGTGGATTAGTAATCAATTTCAATATAGCCCTAAATATGTGATTTCTGCCAACTGTCCAGTGGATTAGTATTCCATTTCAATATGGCCCTATATATGTGATCTCTACCAACCATTCAATGGATTAGTAATCCATTTCAATATGGCTCTATCTATGTGATCTCTGCCAACTGTCCAGTGGATTAGTAAACCATTTCAATAGGGCCCTTTATATGAGATCACTGCTATGTGATCTCTGCCAACCATCCAGTGGATTAGTAATCCATTTCAATATGGGCCTCTATATATGTGATCTCTGCCAACCGTCCAGTACAGTGGATTAGTAATCCACTTCAATATGGCCCTTTTTATATGTGATGTGATCTCTGCCAACCGTCCAGTGGATAAGTAATCCATTTCAATATGGCCCTATATATGTGATCTCTGCCAACCGTTCAATGGATTAGTAATCCATTTCAATGTGGCCCTATATATGTGATCTCTGCCAACTGTCCAATGGATTAGTAACCCATTTCAATGTAGCCCTATATATATGTGATCACTTCCAACCGTCCAGTGGATTAGTAATCCATTTCATTATGATTTGATATATGAGATCTCTGCCATTTGTCCAGTACAATGATTAGTAATCCATTTCAATATGGCCCAATATATGTGACCTCTGCCAACCATCCAATGGATTAGTAATCCATTTCATTATGGTACTATGTATATGTGATCTCTGCCAACTGTCCAATGGATTAGTAACCCATTTCAATGTAGCCCTATATATATGTGATCTCTTCCAACCGTCCAGTGGATTAGTAATCCATTTCATTATGATTTGATACATGTGATCTCTGCCATTTGTCCAGTACAATGATTAGTAATCCATTTCAATATGGCCCAATATATGTGATCTCTGCCAACCATCCAATGGATTAGTAATCCATTTCATTATGGTACTATGTTTATGTGATCTCTGCCAACTGTCCAGTGGATTAGTAATCCATTTCAATATGGCCCTATATATGTGATCTCTACCAACCATTCAATGGATTAGTAATCCATTTCAATATAGCCCTACATATGTGATCTCTGCCAACTGTCAAGTGGATTATACTAATTAGTAATCCATTTCAATATGGTCCTATATATATATGTGATCTCTGCCAACCATCCAGTGGATTAGTAATCCATTTCAATGTGGCCCTATATATATATGTGATCTCTGCCAACCATCCAGTGGATTAGTAATCCATTTCAATATGGTCCTCTATATATGTGATATCTGCCAACCGCCCAGTGAATTAGTAATCCCTTTCAATGTGGCCCTATATATATGTGATCTCTGCCAACCATCCAGGGGATTAGTAATCCATTTCAATATGGTCCTATATATATATGTGATCTCTGCCAACCATCCAGTGGATTAGTAATCCATTTCAATATGGTCCTCTATATATGTGATATCTGCCAACCGCCCAGTGAATTAGTAATCCCTTTCAATGTGGCCCTATATATATGTGATCTCTGCCAACCATCCAGGGGATTAGTAATCCATTTCAATATGGTCCTATATATATATGTGATCTCTGCCAACCATCCAGTGGATTAGTAATCCATTTCAATATGGTCCTCTATATATGTGATATCTGCCAACCGCCCAGTGAATTAGTAATCCCTTTCAATGTGGCCCTATATATATGTGATCTCTGCCAACCATCCAGGGGATTAGTAATCCATTTCAATATGGTCCTATATATATATGTGATCTCTGCCAACCATCCAGTGGATTAGTAATCCATTTCAATATGGTCCTCTATATATGTGATCTCTGCCAACCGTCCAGTGAATTAGTAATCCCTTTCAATATGGCCCTGTATATGTGATCTCTGTCAACCGTCCAGTGGATTAGTAATCCATTTCAATATGGCCCTACATATGTGATTTCTGCTAATTGTCCAATCGATAAGAAATCCATTTCAATATGGCCCTATATATGTGATCTCTGCCAACCGTCCAGTACAGTGGATTAGTAAACCATTTCAATTTTTTTATATGAGATCACTGCCAACCGTCCAGTTGATTAGTAATCCATTTCATTATAGTCCTATATATGTGATATCTGCCAACCGTCCAGTACAGTGGATTAGTAAACCATTTCAATAGGGCCCTTTATATGAGATCACTGCCAACCGTCCAGTTGATTAGTAATCCATTTCATTATGGTCCTATATATGTGATCTCTGCCAACCGTCCAGTGGATAAGTAATCCATTTCAATATGGCCCTATATATGTGATCTCTGCCAACCGTTCAATGGATAAGTAATCCATTTCAATGTGGCCCTATATATGTGATCTCTACCAACTGTCCAATGGATTAGTAACCCATTTCAATGTAGCCCTATATATATGTGATCTCTTCCAACCGTCCAGTGGATTAGTAATCCATTTCATTATGATTTGATATATGTGATCTCTGCCATTTGTCCAGTACAATGATTAGTAATCCATTTCAATATGGCTCAATATATGTGATCTCTGCCAACCATCCAATGGATTAGTAATCCATTTCATTATGGTACTATGTATATGTGATCTCTGCCAACTGTCCAATGGATTAGTATTCCATTTCAATATGATCATATATATGTGACCCTATATATATATGTTATCTCTGCCAACCGTCCAGTGGATTAGTAATCCATTTCAATATGGCCCTTTATATGAGATCACTGCCAACCGTCCTATGTATATGTGATCTCAGTAAAACGATATAGAAAAACAATAAATGAAGTCTGAAAAGTATATAAATCAGAATTTATTTTGCATAAAAAGAAATGTAGTTATATGTAAATACTGCAGTGGAATTTCATCTCAACATAGATCATCCTGTGAAGACCCAATACAAAAAATCAATTACATAAATTCTATTAAAAAAAAATCATTGGTATATATAATGAGATACACTGGCATGGACTTCACAATGGCTAATTGCAAAGAGATTAAGTGTTATATTGGATCCTTGAGAACCATGGAAAGGGTATGCATTTATGCATAGGCACCCAATGAAGTATGGTTACAGACCTAGGTTGGCTTGAATTTTCTGACAAAATACATGAACTGATTACAGTATTAAGGTGATTTCTGAGGCCAATTTTGGAGAACCAAACATTTCAAGAAAACATTACAGGTTTGGGTGAAGAAAGCGTAGAATATATTTTTGCTAATCTTTACTTTATAGAAATGATTTAAGTCTCTTTCTCAAACAATAGACTAAATGTATAATGCTATATACTTCTTTTTTAGCAATTTCAATAAGGAATAATCACTTCAGAAACATTTTTAAATTAAATAACATCCAAAAGTGCATGTACTCATAATTATAAAGGGACTAGATCAAACACACGTGAACTACACTCATTACATATAATGCCAAAGTTTTAAAGATAATGTACAGAATCAAACAATTACTCAACTATATAAGATATTGAATACATACAGGTCCAATTTAAATTTAATTAAGTTTACAATTAACAATGTTACAATTTAATGGATACATGCAGCTTGCTTACTAGAAATCATTATGTACAGTGGATTCCATCTAATGTACCAGGTAGTTCCTGTTCATGGTGTATTACTGTTAAGTTTTAAAAATATGTATCTTTCTTTGATTGATATTTTAGTTACAATGTACACAAATTATGATTTAAATTTGGAAATGGCAGGCAAAATTTCTGTTAATGTAAAAAAAAATGATAAAATTCAATCATATTTTGTATCGCAAACAAAATGAGTTGCAATTGAAGATTACTTGTACAAAAAAATCATGTTTGATAATTGTATACATTAATATTATATCCTTACTGTTTCTACCTTATCAGAATTACACAGTACCAAATATAGAAGTCTATTTAATAGTAAATTTTTGATATGGTAACATTTCAGTTAATTTAATACTCCTATTATTACAATTTTTCTGGCACAAAAATATATATTTAAAAGGAGTCCACTAGATTGATCAACCATCAATTCTTGCATGACTTGGAGAAGCTGTAAATCCTATTATTCAATCACAGTTTCTCTTTTAATGAGCACTTTTCATATTCAAAATAGAGAGGTTTAGCAACCTTACATGAACTTGTACGTGTAAATGTAGGGGGAACTCCCTTTATACAAGTGTACATAACTTCAAGGCTTTTTCCAGACATACAAGTTGGTTGGCGACATACAAGTAATTAAGTACTCATGTGTAAAATATTATTTTTAAATCCCAAAACTTATGAATGAAACCATTACTGATATAAAACGTTATGATGGCATGTCTTCTTCAAAACTATAAATGGCCAACATTCGACTAATATTTACATGCGAATGTTGCATTTGAAATATCTAAATGAACTTATAAATTTTCAAGTCCGATTGGGGAATCAAATCTCGGCCGCCTTAGGGAAAGGTGAGTATGTTATCCACTATGCCACCCAACCACCCAAATTTCTATTGCATTTGAAACGAGGCCCCAACATACTTACAGTATAGCGTTACAGTATAACATATTTTGTTATGCATTTTGCCATTGGCTTTGTTAAATTGCATTTGTCAAAAGAATGGATGGAATTAGACACCATGTTATACTGTACGCATGCATGTTACAAGTACACGTGAACCGACATGTTTTCATGGAGTTTAGTTTTGTAAGTGTAAATGGATGTGTAGCTTACATGTATCTTTACCTGAAAGGTTGCTAAACCTCTCTAGTAAGTCCAGTTATGTATAAATTCATTAACTTGATGACATACAAGTCAAGTTTTAAGTGTTTGTAGAAATATAAGTATATATATACATAACATTAATTAATTCAAACTTTATCGTATTATGTCACTAGGGTTACAAACCTTGATACAACAAAATCCTATAAGCAACTATAGCTATCTGCATTATCTTAAATAAAACTACAATTTTTATACATCAAGTACTTTGGGATAATTTCTTTTAGTCAAGTCAAAAAATAAAATTTATATTTGTCCCACATATGGCTATACTTTTAAATTCTAAGTGAGTACAATATTTCAGAATTTCTGAAGTTACAAGCCAATTATGAGTCCAGGATCTCTGTTTTACCAACTTTCATGAACCCCAACTACAAAGTAAGGTTAAATTCAAATCATTTTGAAACATGTTTACATAAGGATCAGACTTTCCAAGAATCCCTTTTGTTTTCATCAGTTTACATATAAAATTGTATAATTATCATTTTAACATTAAGCATAGTACAATTTTGTTTTTAATTTGTAAGTGTAATATTCAGTGGCTGTTAAAATAGAGGGGTTTTAAATTTTGCTGATGCATGCTTGTATTTGTTATCATGAAATAGTTCTACTTTTTATGCGAGATATAATTAATTTTTTGATGTACATTAATCAGAGTAAAAGATTAAGATCTAAATGTTGTGATTTTATCTAATGTCTAAATAGACATATTCAATCAGTGAATAGGATATGGTCTTGCTCTAAATGCAAAACTCAAACTCTTTAAAATGAATTTCTATTTAAATATCTGAATACTTGGACTTTCTAATAAAACAGAACTCGCCCGGATTGACCACCTCTTTTAGGACAGTAACATAACCATACTGAAAATTTCACTGTTGTGATTCATCTCCCGTACTATGTGACCACACAAAAGATTACCCTTTGAAATATGTCTAATATCACCACTTGATTAGATTCTTCTCTTGTTCCTCAGACCATTTATTCAACATGAAATTTTCTTCCAAACAGGCTGAAAAAGTATCATTTTAATCAGTAGGAGAGGTATTCTCCTGGACATGTTCCATATTAGAAATCTTTGTCTGTTGGCAGAAGAAGTGGTCTCATATGTAGGTCGCACTGTATTTCTTTCCCTCTAAAAGTTCTCAAAGTGGTGTTTGAATATGGTACCCTGTATTTTGTTGAGGTCGGAGCAGGTCTTGTCCAGTGTGTTGGTCATTGGTGGTGGACCACAGCTGAACACCCCAACACGATTAACCTGTCAATGGGAAGACGAAAACAATGGGAAATAAGTACAAGCTTTTCATGGACATGGACTATTTACATATATCTAAAGTCTCACCAGTAAGCCTGCAGAAACTAAGGCTGCCTTATATATCATCAATATAATTAAAATTATATAACAATCAAGTCACCAATATGTCCATTAAATGGTAACAATACATTCAGATAGATCAGATGTGATAAAGAACAATCAATTAAAATTACTATGTTTAAAGTTTTCTATAACAAGGTTGTTCCGTACCCTATATTTGCATTTTTGTTGTCCTTAATAATACGTTATACAGCTTGTACTAGCATATTTCAAAACATTTCCGAAAAACCCTGAAAAATTTGAGATAAATGGTCGCGCCTAAGTAAGGACTGGTTTTGGATTGTTTTTGTGTATAGTGCACACCCCTTTCTTGACAATTTTATATTTCCTTAAAAAAGTGTGCACTATACACGAATATTTACGGTATACCTTAAGTGAGCACTTATTATCTATAACAAGTTAAGACTATTCTGTACCTTAGGGTGTTCAGTGCCTATAGACCTAAGGATGTCTTGAAACTGTGGTCTGCCAAAATGGGTGGTGGCACTCAGACCAGTGAATAAACTCTTCCCGGCCACTTTCTGGAAATGTCGCTCGCAGATGTACTGAAGGAACAAAGACAAAACAAGAAAATGTACGTAAATCACACAAATGCTGCTCTCAGATGTACTGAAGGAACAAAGATATAACTAGGAAATATGTGTAAAACATACAAATGCTGCTCACAGATGTACTGAAGGAACAAAAATATAACTAGGAAATGTGTGTAAAACATACAAATGCTGCTCACAGATGTACTGAAGAAACAAAGATATAACTAGGAAATGTGTGTAAAACATACAAATTCTGTTCTCAGATGTACTGAAGGAACAAAGATTAAACTAGGAAATGTGTGTAAAACATACAAATGCTGCTCGCAGATGTACTGAAGGAACAAAAATATAACTAGGAAATGTGTGTAAAACATACAAATGCTGCTCACAGATGTACTGAAGAAACAAAGATATAACTAGGAAATGTGTGTAAAACATACAAATGCTACTTTTAGATGTACTGAAGGAACAAAGACATAACTAGAAAATGTTTGTAAACAAAGATATAACTAGAAAATGTGTGTAAAACATACAAATGCTGCTCGCAGATGTACTGAAGGAACAAAGATATAACTAGGAAATGTGTGTAAAACATACAAATGCTGCTCTCAGATGTACAGAAGGAACAAAGATATAACTAGGAAATGTGTGTAAAACATACAAATGCTGCTCGCAGATGTACTGAAGGAACAAAAATATAACCAGGAAATGTGTGTAAAACATACAAATGCTGCTCACAAATGTACTGAAGGAACAAAGACATAACTAGAAAATGTTTGTAAACAAAGCTATAACTAGAAAATGTGTGTAAAACATACAAATGCTGCTCGCAGATGTACTGAAGGAACAAAAATATAACTAGGAAATGTGTGTAAAACATACAAATGCTGCTCACAAATGTACTGAAGGAACAAAGATATAACTAGGAAATGTGTGTAAAACATACAAATGCTGCTCGCAGATGTACTGAAGGAACAAAGATATAACTAGGAAATGTACGTAAAACATACAAATTCTGTTCTCAGATGTACTGAAGAAACAAAGTGTAGCTAGAAAATGTAGTAAAATGCAGCCGAACAAAAGCAGAAAATATAGGTCACATTGACCTATATTTGATGAATTTGCAGATAATATATCTATGTAAAAATCTTGGTGACTGTTGGACTTTTAATTAAGTGTATTGGAATTCACAAACAAATCTCATCAGAGTTATTTAGACTGCTTCTGATGTGTCTCCCTGTGGCTTTCTCTTCTAGCAATTGTGTGGAAAGAAGCAACAACATTTTAGGTGAAACATCTATAGAATAGTACTTTTTTGAACTTTCCTTTTTGATTACGTGAAGATTCTGGAATTTGAAGACATCGTTATCACAAATGAGAGTAAAATATTAACAAAACAAGAGGTCCATTGAACCTGTATCGCTCACATGGTTTTATACATATATAAGTCATTACAATTGAATGCATTATGGTAGTACATCTTTATATGAAATTTCCTCAAAACCAGACAATTTAAGATCTATGTTCTAACCCAACTGGGACCACAATATCTGACTTTCAACTAATCAGGGGCCTCCATTGAGTTGCCATGTTAACAGATTTTGAAATAAGTTATATGTCATATTACAGGGTGTAATTAGACAATACTTTAATTTTCTTTCAACTATAAGCTTTTATAAACCTAGATACCAATTTTTAACAATTTATGAAAACTACACCTTAGAATATGATAATCTAGCTGTACCATTTCTTAGGACCGCAGGGGTCGTCAAATCAACCTCATCCAATAAGAAATGTTTGCAGGCAAGTAGGGGATATTAGCGTCTTAAAGCAAAATATGATATAATTTTCCTTTTTGTGGCCTGGTCTTCCTAGCCCAGGGGGTCGAACCGGTCTCATTTATTTAGGAAATGATTGCCCTCCCCCAATGAAGTTTCAGAGCGAATTTGGTTGAAATTGTCTCTGGCGTTTAGGAAGAGAGGCAATTTAAAAAAAAATATATACATGTAGCTAAGTTCCCCTTCAGGGCCCCGCCCGCTGGCCTCAGGGGGCGAACCAACCTTATTTATTTAGGAAATGATTGCCCTCCCCTAGTGATGCTTCAGACTAAATTTGGTTGAAATCCTCTCTGGTGTTTAGGAGGAGATGCGTTTTAAAGCAAATTTAGCCAAGTTCCCCTTCAGGGCCCCGCCCCCCTGACCTCAGGGGTCGAACCAACCTCATTTATTTAAGAAATGATTGCCCTCCCCAAGTGATGCTTTAGACTTAATTTGGTTGAAATCCTCTCTTGCGTAAAGCAGGAGATGCGTTTTAAAGCAAATTTAGCCAAGTTCCCCTTCAGGGCCCCACCCCCCTGGCCTCAGGGGTCGAACCAACCTAATTTATTAAGGAAATGATTGCCCATCCCTACTTATAAGCATAATTATGCTTCAGACTAAATTTGGTTGAAATCCTATCCTTTGTTTAGGAGATGCGTTTTAAAGCAAATTTAGCTAAGTTCCTTTTCAGGGCCTGGCCTCAGGGGTCGTACCAACCTCATTTATGTAAGAAATGATTGCCCTTCCCTACCGATGCTTCCGACTAAATTCGGTTGAAATACTCTTTTTCGCGTTTAGGAGGAGATAGGTTTTAAAGAAAAGTTGACGACAGACGATGGATCCGCCACGGCATAAGCTCACTATGGTCCTTCGGACCAGGTGAGCTAATAACAAGAGATCCCAGAGGGATCTTGGCGACCACCTTTGTACCATCTTCATTAGTTCTTTGTCAGTTCAATCTTTTCTCTTCTTTCCTCTAATCTGTTTGATCGAGTCATGTTAACAGTAAATGCACCTTGAGGTAACTTTTGATCTAAACTTAATACTGATGTGTATGAAAGCCAACCTTCAAAGTGAGTTTGTCATTTCACATATTTACTAGTACAGTACTTAATGTGAAAGAAATAGAATCGATCATTGCAATATGAGAAAGATCTGTTTAGTTCTTCTTTTAATCCATTTTGTTTTTATGATCAGTCTCAAAATATAACATACACAACGAGGGATCAAGGGGAACCTACATTTAAAATTTGAGAAAGATCCCTCCTGTACTTCCTGAGAAATAGCGATAACAAACTTTCACTATCAAAATCCAAGATGGCTGCCTATCGGCCATGTTGTTTATCCGATCAGTCTCAAAAATTGCCCTGCACAGCTAAGGACCAAGGGAAACATACATATAAAATTTGAGAAAGATCCCTCTGGTACTTCCCGAGGATATAGCGATAACAAACTTTCAGTATCAAAATCTAAGATGGCTGCCTGTCGGCCATGTTGTTTATCCGATCAGTCTCAAAAATTGCCCTGCACAGCTAAGGACCAAGGGAAACATACATATAAAATTTGAGAAAGATCCCTCTGGTACTTCCCGAGGATATAGCGATAACAAACTTTCAGTATCAAAATCTAAGATGGCTGCCTGTAGGCCATGTTGTTTATCTGATCAGTCTCAAAAATTGCCCTACACAGCTAAGGACCAAGGGGAACCTACATATAAAATTTGAGAAAGATCCCTTTGGTACTCCTTGAGAAATACCGATAACAAGAATTGTTTAAGGACGGACGGCGGACCACTGCCCACGGATGCAGGGTGATTTGAATAGCCCACCATCAGATGATGGTGGGCTAAAAAGGAGATTGCTGGTTAAATTTGACTGGTAATAGGCTTTTTATACCAGGGCAGCCTATATTTGTTACCATGCAAGAATAAACTGAAATGTCGGTGCTCCTTCGATACAGTAGGTGGAAGATTAAGTGACACTGGATATTTGCATTGTCAGCTTTTATATGCCGTTTCCACTAAGTTGTTGAGGCATGAAAATGCTGCAATCACTAGTACAGGAGAAACAAATATACAACAAAGGTGCTATCAAATGCATCATTACCTGCAAGGTACTTCTTTTGTATCAGTAATTAGTGGAGGGTTGAACCGCAAATTAATAATACAGCAAATGGAATAACAAAACAGGAGACTTTAGAGGGATCTTGGTGCACATCATCTTCACTAGATCGATATAGTTTTTGATCTTTTCCTTTCCTCGCTCTTCTTTTTTATCCATGTTCAAGTGACCCTTTAACCTTGACCAATATTATCAGATTTCTATCAGGTGCAGAACTCCCTGATACAATACTGCGGCATAAATAATTAAAACACAGCAAATGAAACACATGGTAACAAACAAAAAATTGTGTGAAATGTAATAATTTTCCAGCTGTTTGATATTTCTTACCAACATAGTAGTCCTGAAATCAAACTTCTCCTTGAACTGTGTAATAAAGATGTGAACATCGACGAAGCTTTTCAAGTCGTTGTTTTCAACTTCCCGGATGATATCTGTCATCCATTCAAACTGTTTCTGGGTACGGGTCACCCACAGGAAATACACCTAAAAAAACACCACAGGATCATGAATACAGGTAGTGCTGAAATTGTTGATTCAATACCTCGGAAACCTTTCAACATTTCTTTTAACAAAAGGCCCATAGGGCCTGCATCTCTCTCGGGTAAACTTGAACAGAAGTTATTCGAAATGAAATGTCATTTATTGATAGCCCTTCATCCCAACAAGAAGGCACAGGGTCAATTAAAGGTTATTGATATAAAACATAAAATAAACGATAAGTGGGAGGGCAGTGCATAATTACAACTATGTCTATATATAGGATTAGATATCTTACATCATATGTGCCTCGTCTCAAACAATTAGAACAAGTCTATATATTATCTACAAGTAACCAGCAAGAATATTTACATTGTTAAAAAAACATGTATATAAAGTTTTTCTACCAACCTTTTTGCATGGAAATCTAAAGTCATCAATTTTTGACTTATGGACAATGTCTTTCAAGATGGAAGCAAAGGGTGTGACCCCGATTCCACCACCAACTAAGATGGCCACCGGAAACCGATACCAATCCTGATGTCCCTCCCCATAGGGGCCGTCAAGGAATAGCTGCAATCAAATAAGCTTATATCATTTGTACAATCAATTTGAAATTCAAACCTTTTTCTTAAAACAAGTTTGGCCCTTATAAGGATTATTTTTCTCACTTTTCCCTCATTTATGATTCTTGTTTAAGCCCTTCATGAATCTGAAAACAGAATACTGAATTTCTCCAAATCTTTATTTGGGTTAAGTTTCTCTCATGAAATAAAAATCATTTTCTGAGCATATTACCAAGAAACATCTTTCACTTCAGCCCATCATTATATACCTGGCAATGCCTCTAAAGAACCCATTTTTTAACAAGAGGCCCAGGAGCCTTAATAGATCACCTGGTATTTTATTTTTCGATTTAAAACCTGCTGAGTACCATACAGGTTTATCAAAGGAGAACAAGAAACAAAGTTGCAAGAAGAACTACATATAAATCTGTTTTGGTGGGAAAGACACCACTAAAATGAGTTTCCATGTTATGTCCCAATTTTTCTCTATTTCCCCTAATTGGCCGTAACCATCTGCCTCAAAGTAGGGGGTCCACACACCTCAGTTTATACAAAATTGAGTCCAGACCAAATTGGCAACAAAGATTCTCCAGAACAAGTTTGTTTAAAATCCCTTAAACGGTACAGAAGGAGAAGGATCTTTAATGTTTTCCTCTATTTCCCCTAATTGGCCGTAACCATCTGCCTCAAAGTAGGGGGTCCACACACCTCAGTTTATACAAAATTGATTCTTTTGTCCCTAACCATGCTTCAGACTGCATTTGGTTTAACTCCCTTCACTTGTATAGTAGGAGAAAAAAAATCCTCTATTTCCCCTATTGGGCCCGCCCCTCGACCCCCAGAGGGGCTACACCCTAGCCTCCGTTTATACAAACTTGAGTCTCCTTTGTCCAAAGATGCTCTAGGACAAATTTGGTCAAAATCCTTCTATTGGTTGAGAAGAAGATTTTGAAAGATTTACCTATTTTCCCCCTATTTGGCGCCGCCCCTTGCCCCCAGGGGCACCATACCCTCTGTTTATACAAAACTGAGAACCCTTTGGTCATTGATGCTCCAGACCAAATTTGGTCAAAATCCTCTGAGCCGTTCAGGACTAGTAGTGTTTTCAAGGAAAAAGTTGCCGGACGCCGGACGCTGCGCCATGGGATAAGCTCACTTGGCCCTGTGGGTCATGTGAGCTAAAAATCTTTTCTTTGCAGTCAGTGACAACTAGAACTGTCATCCAAAGGTTAACTTTAATACCCCCTGCAGATGCTGGAAGTTGGGTTTCTGGACAAGTTATTTCACATAAAGGGCTGTAACTCCGTTAAAAAGTGTTGAAATCTGAAATTAAAATGCCAGTTTACACCTACATAACATACTGATCCTCCAAGTGAAGTTTAAATAAAATTTGCTTGTTAGTTAAGATGGAGTTTTCCAGACAATTTAAGTTACTGCGGATGACAGACAGACAGACTGGGTGATTCCAGTATACCCCCCTAACTTCGTTACGGGGGGGTATAATAATTTGTAAACCTTACCTTGGGAAGCTTGTACTTCTTGTATTCCAGTCGGTCAGGGTCATAGAGTTCACGAATGTTGGTGGTCCAGGGTCCCACAGCGCGAATATGCAGACTGAGATGTTCCTCATGGGGGGCAGAGGTCAAAGTGAAAGGATGGTACTCACTCTTACCCAGGTCGAGGCTGGCAATCCGAACCCATTGACCTGACTTGTACTCAAAACTTGCAGGTCGTTTGAAAACTAGAGCTGTCACATCTGAAATTATGGAAAGCAATCTATATAAACTTAATCAAGATGTGATACTCTGAAAACTTTGTTAAATATTAACCCTTTCACCACTGTAGACCATAATGGACTCATCCATATCAATGCATGGTAATAAATTGAGTTTTTTGAAGTAAAACCAATTTTCATGATGTAATACTTACCATAACTTTAGTATGCATATACAATACTTACACCCATCTTTGTAGCCCAAAAACAAAAGATTCAAATATCCCTACCTCCCTACGTACCGTGACGTAACCCATATCTCAATGACAGAGCCACGGAGTGATCTCCCTTCCTCAAACCCCTTTTATGGAGCCTAAAGGCAGCCGGGATGAGGAGGCAAGGGGAGGAATAAAGGATGGGACTCCATAAAGTTATGGTAAGTATTACATCATGAAAATTATTTTTACTTCAAAAACCTCAATTTCATTTCAGTAATAATTACCATAACTTTAGTATGCGAATTTGTTTTAAGGTAGTGGAGGCTACGAATCCAGGCAGACCAGGCTGACGGAACAAACTCAAGACATGCTCAAGGTAGGGAAAAGGTTTAAGGAATCCCCCCTAATTAAGTCCCGAAAGTACTTCAACAAGAGGCCCAGAGGGCCTGTATCGCTCACCTGAATATGTTTAAAATAATTGGTATGAAGTTAAGATATAGCACTCCATGGTAGGTGCTGTAAGTACATATGAAATTTCAGAAAGATCCATCCAGTACTTGAGATATAGCAAGAACAAACTTCGAACAGAGCCCCACCCCGTTGCCCCTAGGGGGTCATACCCACCGTTTATACACAATTGAGTCCCCTTGGCCCAAGGATGCTCCAGACTAAATAAGGATAAAATCCAGTCATTCGTACAGAAGAAGGTATTTGAAGAATTTGCTATGTTTCCCCTATCAGGCCCACCCTTCTGCCCCCCGGGGGGGCCACACTCACTGTTTATACAAAATTGAGTCCAGACCAAATTGGGAAGAAATCCCTTCATCCCTATGGTAGAAGAAGGATTTTAAAGGTTTACCTCTATTTCCCCTATTGGGCCCCGCCCTTGGAGATCACACTCACTGCTTATACAAAATTGAGTCCCCTTGGCCCAAGGATGCTCTGGACTAAATTAGGATAAAATCCCTTAACCCCTATGGTAGAAGAACGATTTTAAAGGTTTTACCTCTATTTCCCCTATTGGGCCCTGCCTCTCTGCCTCCAGGGGGTCAGACACACCGTTTATACAAAAGTTGTTCCCTTTTACCTAAGGATGCTTCACACCAAATTTGGACAAAATCCTGTCATTCCTACAGAAGATGAAGGATTTTGAAGAATTTGCTATGTTTCCCCTATTGGGCCCATCTTCCCTTCTGCCCCCAGGTGGGCCACACTCGCTGTTTATATGAAATTGAGTCCCTTTTGCCCAAGGATGCTCCAGACTAAATTAGGATAAAATCCCTTATTCCCTATGGTAGAAGAAGGATTATAAAGGTTTTACCTCTATTTCCCCCATTGGTCCCCACTCCTCAGGTCCCAGGGGGGCTACACCCACCGTTTATACAAATTTGGTTCCCCTTCACCCAAGGATGCTCCACACCAAATATGGACCAAATCCTTTCATTCCTACAGAAGAAGAAGGATTTTGAAGAATTTGCTGTTTCCCCTATTGGGCCCCGTCCCTCAGCCACCAGGGGGGGGGGAAAGAGCCACCGTTTATACAAAATTTGTTCCCCTTTACCCTAGGATGCTCCACACCAAATATGGACTAAATCCTTTCATTCCTACAGAAGTAGATGGATTTTAAAGAATAATTTGCTATGTTTCCCCTATTGGGCCCTGCCCCTTAAGCCCCTGGGGGGGCAGACCCACGGTTTATACAAAAATTGTTCCCCTTTACCCAAGGATGCTTCATGCCAAATATGGAACAAATCCTTTCATTCCTACAGAAGAAGAAGGATTTTAAAGAATTTGTTATATTTCCCCTATTGGGTGGGCCATGCCTCTCAGACCCCAGGGGGGGCCAGACCCACCATTTATACAAAATTTCTTCCCCTTCCCCCAAGAAAGCTTCTGACCAAATATTGAACAAATCCTTTCATTCCTACAGAAGAAGAAGGATTTTAAAGAATTTGTTATATTTCCCCTATTGGGCCCCGCCCCTCGGCCCCCAGGGGGGCCAGACCCTCCATTTATACAAAATTTGTTCCCCTTCACCCAAGAATGCTTCAGACCAAATTTGGCATAAGCTAAAAATGGAAAACCTCCCCGTAAAACGAGCAGGTGTACCATCGTGGTGCCGGATAGCATACTATTTAAAATCACTGAATTACTGTGGAGGAGACGCCGACTAAACACTGACTTCTGTCAGTGAGATGAAATCGGTAAGGGCGGATTCATGTAGGCGCGAAACCCGTCATCCATCCATCCATCAGAATGAGAAGCCAAAGACTGGAGATAAAAATCTGTGAAGGTAGTCTGTCCGTGCCAGAAAGCCGCAGACATGACCTCCTGAAAGGGGGACCCATTGAGGAGGGCCAATGACGCATCAAGGGCCCTGATCTCATGAGCTCTCACCTTATACAACGCCCGAACCTGATCGTCTGAGTGATCGTAACCATACTTGATGACCTGACAGATCCATCTAGACACTGACTGAGAGGAGATATCCTGCTGACCCTGCTTAATGGGCAAAAACAGATGAGATCGAGGACACTGCCCCCCCCAGTTTTATCGAGGTAAAACCTAAGCGCCCGACAGGGACAGAGCAACCTATCCCGTTCCTCAGACCCAACGAAGGCAGTCAAAGACGGAAACTTAAAAGGATCGGGCGAGAAGCCAGGAACCTGATTCTTAGCCATGAAGGCAGGATCAGTGAGAAGGGTAACGGCAGAGTATTTCCTGGACCACTGGAGGCAAGAGGGGTGAGAAGACAAGGCATTAATCTCACTCCTCCTTCGACCTGAGGCCAGGGCAATAAAGAACACCACCTTGTAGATAACAAACTTCAAGGAGTCAGACGCTAAAGGCTCATAAGGTGCTCACATCAACGATTCGAGCACCAGTGGCAAATTCCACTGCCGAGCCAACTGCCGGACCCCTAGGCCTGTCCAACCCAAACCCCCTAATCAAGGCAAAAAGAGAGGAGGACGAGCCTACCTCCGACCTACCATGAACAGAGATAACACTAGCAATGGCTGTGCGATAATGCCAGGGGCAAGATTACGGTCCCTAAACAGCCAAAGAAGGAAGTCTGCAATCACCTGGACAGTAGCCAAGATCGGATCAACCTTCCTGCCGACACACCAATCACAGTAAATCTTCCATCGGGATTGGTAGACGGCAGATGAGGAAGACCTAATTGATCGAGCGATGCGATCCCACACGTCCCTAGAAAAGCCCACCTGAGCGAGGCCTCCTGAGATAGCTTTCACGCGTGAAGGTGGAGGATCTCCGGACGAGAGTGCATCGTCCTGGACTGAGGCTGGCGAAGGAAGTTTGCCCTAAAAGGAAGAGCCAGGGGCTCTTCCACCAGAAGCGACAAAAGCCCCGGTAACCAAGGCTGCCTCGGCCACAGGGGCGCTATCAGGAGGAGGGAACACTGATGCTCCCGAAACTTCTGCAGCACCCTGGCAATCCAGAGACAGAGCGTCCACGGCCCAAGCCCTTGGATCTGGACCAGAGAGACAAACGTTGGCAACTGATTGTTCAGTGAAGTTGCGAACAGGTCTATGTGAGGCCTGTCCCACACCTGACAAATTCCCTCGAAAATCGAGGGATTCAGTGTTGCCACTCTGTCAAAGACGGTTGGCGGCGCCTGGAAAGAGTATCCGCCAGAACATTCAACCTGCCTGGTAGATGCTTGACGCAAATTGTACACTGCATTTCCTGACAAAGAAGAAGAATGCGGATAGCGAGGGCACACAGGGTGTGAGACCTGGTTCCCCCCTGTCTCTCCAGATACGCGACAACTGTAGTGTTGTCCGTAGTTTCAGAGTTTCAGAACCAACCGGGTGTCCTGCACCAGAGACTCTCTCACTCTTTCATGAGGGAGTCGTCGAAATAGCTGTGAACATCTATTCCTCGAGAGTGCAGGAATCCCACGACCACCTGCAGCAGCTTGGTGAAAACCAAAGGTGCAGTCGTGAGCCCGAACGGCATGGCCTGGAACTGGAAGACCTTTCCGTTGCAAGTAAAACGGAGGTACTTCCGTGCCGACTTCTTGATAAGGATGTGGAAGTAGGAGTCCTTCAGATCTACTGAAGTCGCCCACATTCCCTCTCTCAAGGAGGCGATAATACTCCGAGGAGTCTCCATCTTGAAGTGAGGAGAATCTACGGGCTTGTTGAAGGCACTTAAATCTATGATGGGACGCCACGCCCCAGACTTCTTCCGAACCAGAAACATTCTGGAGTAGAACCCGGGAGTGCATACCGACATAGGAACCTCCTCGACCGCGTGGTTGGTAAGCATGGTCCTTACTTCCTCCTGGAGAGCCAGAGCCTTTTCCGGATTCCCCGGTGGAGGAAAAAAGATTGCCTCTGACGCGGATCCCGCACTAGCGGAATGCCTAACCCCTCCTTGACCACAGACAAGGCCCATGCGTCTTCCTTAATTTCCTTCCACTCTGGAAAGAAAGCGGTAAGACGACCCCCCACAGGAAGATCTGGTCGAGGCAGATCGAGACCTTGCCAGGCAAGAGAACTGTCTGCTGACCCAAAGCCTAATCCTGCGGGAGAAGGACCTAAGGTTGAGCCGAGAGGACTGCAGTCCCCCCGGCCAAACTCGTCGTCTGACACGACCAAGGAGGGAAGAAGAGAGTCATGAACCCTTCTTCTTACCCCCAGGAGGGTTCTTACCCTTCTTACCCTTCCATTTGTTGCCCTTGAAGGGAGGCTTACACTTCGGCTGCGCAGAAGACTGCGATGCCGAAGGTTTAGCCTTCTTCTTAGGAGGCGCTGACCCCTGCGAGGTACTGGCCTTCTCAGCTTGAATCCTCTTCACCAGAAGTGCAGAGGCGACCGAGTCATCCTTCAAAACCTTCTGAACACAAGGAAGGGCCCCTCCAAAAAGAGTGGACCCTGAGAAGGGGGCAGTCAACAATCTGGAGCAGTAAGGCTCACTGACTGGGCGTTTTTTCAAAACTGAAAATCGCCTAGCCAACAAGACATTGACGAGCGATGACACCTGCAAATCTTCCAGAGCTCTCAATGCCCCGTTCAGGGCAGAAGTCACTCTGTCCTGGATGTCGGCCTCCTCTGTCTTGGTAATCCGACCCTATATAGACAAACCGTCAGGTAGTCTATATAAGACAGAATCTGGATGGAGAGACGCAGTAGTCTCCCCATCTTGTGGTGTTCTTTGGGACCGAACACCACCTGGTCCACCGATTTACAGGGCCAGGAGGCAAGTTCCCTTGATGCCAGCTTAGCTGGTTGAGGGGCAAGCAGGCCATCATGTGTGGCATAGTCAGTGGCATGCACCTCCGACAAATTGCCAACATTGAGCTGCAACCCAGCATACCCTGCGACCTACGGGTTGAAGAAGAATTCTTCTCTAAAACCCGAGACTGAGCGGTGGCCAGAGCTGAAGACACAATAGTGCCTTCTGGCAGAGAGCGGTCCGACCGAGCAGACACCCAAAGAACCCAAAAGGGTGGTGGACTCGGGGACAGATGACGCCGAAGGTGGTGGGCAAACCTCCTCCCAAAGAATCTGGGAAACGTCAGCCCTAAGGCCCCGCATACCAGACAACACATGCTGGGCCTCAACCTCAGCATCCTCAGGGTCACCCTCATCCTGGACATCCTCCTCAGAGAGCAAGCCCTCCTGAGAACCGTCATCAGACGACTCGGAAAGACCAGCGTCTATATATCCTGAATTTGCGACCACACCAGCAAAATACCAAATATCAGTATCCTTAGGCCTAACTGTGCTGCAGCAGAGGTATCATGACCATTTTATTGGTACCATGACCTTTTCAGTAATGACCTTTGAGTTGGTATTATGACCTTTTAGTTGCTATTACATAACATTTGATATTGGAAGATGGTTGTACTGAAGTTGTACATACTATATATTATATATTATATGTTATTATATATTATGTATTAAATATACCATTGCATATATTACTAGCTCACAATGTAATTGTTTCACGCAGTGTCCTACACATTTTTATATTAACAAGTAACTCAAGCTAGATAGCCATGATAATCAACCATTACCAATCAGATTACCTCTGTATGTCAAATAGACTGGGGTTCAAACACTGGCTGTCAAACACTCTCGACTTTAAGATAGATTTTTATTATTCTGAACAACATGTAAATGTAATTAATGCAGTTAACAGAAAAAGAGTAATAAAATCTTTGATCCCCTTGGGGTTGAGATAGGGGGATCTCAACCCGAGGGAGGAAGATTCTTGATTTGCCAAATACAAGGCTTTTGCCGAGTGTTTGGCAACTTAAGAATCTTCTCCCGAGAGTTGAGATCCCCCTATCTCATCCCCAAGGGGGTGAATGATTATTTTTCTCTTACCCTGTTGTTCCTGTCCAAGTGTAAGGCGAAGCATATTGTTTGTAAACAGGAACACGTGGATAGCGTATTAATATTATATGTATGCGTCAGACGGTTCATGCATCATATTTTAAACATTTTAAAATTGATCCCATCTTCTTTGATGTCAATTGTAAACACGACAAGATTAGCAGACGAACTTGTGGATGTGTGTGACCTCATAAAAGTAGTTCTTCTTCCAGGTCACATCAGTGACGTCAGGTTTATTGTGGAGAACGTGCAAAGAGCACATGTAACTTATCTCAACCCTAGGGTGAGACAAGGAAATCTCACACCGGTAAAAGTAAGGATAAATCTGTCCAGGGTAAGAGAAATACTGCACAATGCTTTAAGATACATACCTGAGGGTAAGAGGTCTGCAGAGACAACAGCAATCTGGATCTTGTTGCGACTAACACTGATCATTTTATCGAGGATGAAAATGAAGAGACAAGGGAGGAAGTACAGCCAGAACAGGGGTGGTTGGACAAGACGCCCAGAGCCATGCATGATATTGAAGATGTACAGCAGTACGTAGAACTTGTGGGTCGTCCAGAAAGCGTTGAATACGTAGCGACGAGCGTATGGCATTGCAAAGACATACATGATGATGACTATCAAGGTTAAAATGATTCCTGTGAGTCCTGTGGATTTTCAAAACAAAATAATATATTTAGTATCATAGCTTATCATGTAACTACAAGTACATTTTGCTTTCAAAATGAAAATACTTCATTTAAAACAAGAGGTTTTCACGGTTACCTTGTCTTCAAAATGAAAATATATTATTTAAAACAAGAGGCACATGGGCCTAAACTGTCACCTGAGTGAAACTATAAATGATACAAATGTAGCGGAACTAGACTGGGTCATTTACCAGCAACCAGGAACCTCAATTGGTAGGGTTACGGGTTCAAATCCCAGTCTTGCCGTGCAATTTTCAGCCCCTACTACATAAAAACTGCTGAGTTACTAATCCTGTTATAATGACTTAATATCTAGTCACCATTAATCCAGTCACCACCAATCCTTTCACTACTAATCCAGTTAAAACATATTCATTCTGCTTTCTTTTAATACATATTCAGCCAGTTTTAGATTATATCAGAGATGATTGATTTGTTTCACTGAGTAAACCACCTGATATTCAAACTTTATTGTTAAAACTTTAATTAGTTATTAAATTATTGTGATGTCTTGAATATTTCTTACTAATAATGCAGTGTTTTTTTACCTGTTCATGTACTACAATAGTTATGCTCATGCATATGAAAATGTTTACACTAAATATTTGGAAATGATTTACCTGTGATAGTTGTGTATGCCCAGTAGTGAAAAGATGCTAGCACGTCTTGCCTGAAATTTCAATAGAACATTTTTTGTTTGCTTAATTTCTTTTCTGAACTGAAAGCAATTTCTCTAAAATAAATTTAAATTAAAATTCAACTTTTCCTAAGAAGACATCAAATTTGATCATTTTTGTTTTGAAGTGTGGATCAACACTGAATTGATATCAAAGACTGTTGAGTTATTTTGAAATAAACTGAAACAAAATTGACAGATTAAATGTTTCTTACGCTCTGAAGTATTCACGGAATATACAGTTGAGGTCCCCCGAGGACTGCGTGGAGATGTGGTACAGATTGATACTGTGACCAACGACATGGACCACTGAAAATACAGCAGTATCACAGTGTAATACAATGTATGTAATGATAACATTAGTGTAATACAATGTATGTAATGATAACATTAGTGTAATACAATGTATGTAATGATAACATTAGTGTAATACAATGTAAATAATGTATAATATAATGACTACATTCATGTAATACAGTATAATACATAGCTATTGTTTTACTTGTCCTCTATATAATATATATAAATGATTGATCGACATCCTACTGCAGAATGCATCGTGATATTCATTATATATTATGTCCTCCATAATAGCGTAAGTAAGACTGTCGATGTATTACTTGTTTAGTTTGTTGAAAAAATAATCTCAATCCTTCTTTAATACACAAGATAACTTTAAAAAACAACCTACTCTTCCTTTCCACATCATTCTCCCAGATGACCTTTAACATTTGACCTTTTACATTAACCTCTGTTACATTGATCTATGAACCCTGAACTGTAATGCTTCATTACAAATAACCTGGAATGTTTTGAATTAAATTCACTTGTTTTAAATCTCATTTAATTTGCAACTCCTTGCTGTATATCCCTATCATTCTCTTATATATCTGAATGACCTTCTTGTAAGCTTGGACTTACTTGTGAAAAAGAGAGCCCAGAATGCAATATACTTGTGCAGGAAGTGCATCGAATCCCAGGGGAAGAAGCGATGCAGAGAAGTTTCCCGGAAGAATGTGATCAAGTTGCGACTCATAGTGATGAGTAGTGGACAGTATGTAAACATCATAGCACTGGCAGCTCCTCGAGTTATCGTCACACCATATCCAGCGATACGGCGCAGTCCTGCATGTTCACGCTCAACAGAATAGTCTGTAATGAAAAACAGCGTTACATAGAACCAGAAAACAACAGAAACTAAAGATACATGAATTGATATAGGTATTAACCATTGCAAATGAACAATTTAATTTTTTACTGTTTCTTTTTTTTTACAATTTTTAAGAGGTGAAACATCATAACATTTTTTTTAAATCTGACAACACAAGATGAAATACTTCCAAACTGAACAAATAACTAGGTACACTGGCAATTAGGTACACATTGACTTCCATATAATATATGCAAATTAACAGGTGCAGGTGACATGATACAGGTATCAATTTATAAGGTTAAGCTAATAGAATCTTATCTCTAAACTAGACTTCATGGACAGGACTTTTCTCAGGGGCAGTAATTTACGAGAAGATCATACCCCTTTTGTCTAACATTTTTCAGGTGACAATAATGATATGCATGTTTCAAGGAAAAGCTTTTCTTGACACAATAATATACAATGTATATGTATAAAACTGCTTGCCGTTACACAGTTCTCCTGATTAGGCCCGAATACCTGAATACCGTGTATGTATCAGTAATGATACCTATGGTTAGCAGCTATTAAACAATGTATATGTCTGAAATTCAACATGCATACCAAAAAAACAAATCTGTCTGTTAGTATGATGACGGAATTAAGGTGGCTGATCTGTTTATCACTTTTACCATCTTTTATTTGCAATGTGAATTTCAATCACCCCCAGCGTACCCCTATCTGCATCTATTTATATTTTGAAATAAACATACAGAAAGCACGTTCCGCGAAGATGCCCACGAGGGTGAGTGTGTAGAGAACTGTCCAGAAGATGACTAGTTGGTAGGTGGCCACCCATGACGTAAACTGGAACCACAGCTGGCCGGTCTTTGTTTTTGGAAATATGATCTTTGTTGTTGTCACTCTGACTGATGTTCCTCTCTTACGATTTGACAGCCCCTTTGACTTTCCCCCTTTGCTGAAATAACAAGCAAAATTCAAGTTACAAGATATCTCATAATTATGTGATCATACACTGTGTGGAAATCATACCAACAACCTTCAAGTGATCATACACATGTTTGTGGTAAAAATACACTGAGAAAAAAAATTTTTTTACGCCAGTGATCAAACACAATGTAATTAGACATTTTGGTAAAATCTCTAGTAATATAATTGTAATATTTATGAATTAAATTGATTATTGCTAGATTCAGAATATGGGACTCACATCATCAAAAGAGAACATTCATTTTCTAAAAAAAAAAAGTCATACATTTAATGATCATGGGCTACTGTTACAGTTGATGAGATTATATTTGGAGGCTCAGATGCGGACTACTATAGCTATCAACATCTTATTATTGGAACTTTCAAGAGAGATCTTTTTTAAACAGTATTGAGGAAAAAATATTTTTGAAGAAATTAAATTTCTTATCAATTGTACAATGCATCCTATGGATTTATACTCCAGGGGTTATGCTTAATTTAGCTTTCGTCACCCTGGATTAATTGTCATAGCAATATTAAAGGCAGGCAGCGCTAGCTATTTAATTGATCTCAGGTATAAAAAAAAAAAGACCAATCACTAGACTGATACTTGTCCTTTGAAGAATACAGAGGAGTTACCCCTTAGACTTCAAAGCAAGTCAATTTTACTGTTAGATGACAGCGAGCTTTTTTTTATGTACATCAAAGGATCAAACTAGTCTTCCTGTCTCATCCACAAGTTGATGCACACTGAGCCTTCCATATTGCTATGACATATTCCAAAGGTTTTACATTTATATGAAAACAAAGATGTTTATGGAACATTTGTGTATGTTATGTAATGAAAGTAGATATACATCATACACTGTACATATGAGAAATATGATACATCAGAAGTATTGTAGGAGTCTACTGGAAGTAAAAGTTATATGACGTTTGTACTATATATGCCTTCGGTATCTTGATTGTATATACTGTATTGAAAGAGCTGCCTATATCCAGGGCCTTCACTTACTCTTTCTTTTTCTTCTTCTTCTTTGGTTTTTCTCTTTTGACAACAAATGAAAGTCATACAAGAAAAGCACATTGCTGGTATTTATCGCTTTTCACTCCACTTTCACATCAGAGGGAGCTTCATCACAACCCTCAGATATATTTAGTATCGAAATCTTTATTTTTTTAGATGGTTTCATAAGCACTTTTATATAAAACAAACAACATCAACATATATGGATAAGATATTCAATAACACCAAATTTGCAAGGTTTATGAGTTAAGTCATACTGCCAAACATTTTAAAATGAGACCTCAATTCAAGCCCACAGGAAACATGTTACTTTGAAGTGGGTTTTGGTGAGGACTACTTACTCGTAATTCCTCATTAGAGTCTTGCTCCTTGACTGGAGGGTGGAATCGTGCTTCTTCCTTGGATCATGCGTTTGAACTTCATGAGACATTCCTGTCAGAAAAAAAACCCGTTATTTTTAGACTTGAATTTTTCTCTTAAAGAATGACGGAATACATGCTGCTATTGAAGGACTATTTATCTGCCATGTTGGCCCCCAATCCTAGCCCAAAGAGGGAGTCACATTTAGTGAGAGACTGTGTTAGTAGTAGTATTTTAAGACCGACTCCTATTTCACATAATTGTGTTCATTCCTCAGCTTCCTGTATCTTTCATTAAACAAATTAGTTTCCCTTAGCCTAGGGATGCTTCATATCAAAAATTCTTTCAATCTTTCTGGACAAGTAGTCTTTTAAAGGAAGAAGACAGACCAAAGTCAATACCAAGACATATTAAAGTGGTTTAGCCTTCAGCTGGGTGAGCTCATGAAGAGTGAGATTTTACCATCTAGATCCAGTGTAGCATTAGCTAGTGTCTTGGCATATTCCTCATCTTCAAAGATCTTTTTGAAGTCTGTAAATGTCATTTCGGATCCCTCTCTCACGTTAGCGACACGGTACATAGAGGAGATGAGATCTGTGACCTTACTCTTGTCCAAGCTGGAATCTGACAGGTCTAGTAGAGACCTGGATTAGAAAGAAAACGAAAAATAGAGTTCTTCTGAAACATTGAAACAATCATTAAGATATCAGTATACAGCTAATACTCAAGGTGCAAAAACCTTATCTTTATGTGTAGTGAATTAAAATTAAAAGTAAATTTGAAAATCAAACAGCAACTTCTCAAGACTGTTATATCATTTATACCAAAGAAATTTAAAAGTCAAAGTTTTAAACAATCGCCTCTTTCTGTCTTTATTTCTAAGAGTAAATTAAGCAAAAACATGGAGGAACTTCTCTAAACTGTATCTATCAAACGAGTTGAAAAGTCAAAGTTTCAAACGGTATCTTACATGATCATCTTAGAGAAGTCTGACTTGGAGAGCACACCCTTCTGTCCAATGTCATACATGTTGAAGATAAGCTGCACTTTACTGTCGGAGTCCTCTGATCAATACAATAGAAATACCATGTAACAGATGACTTCAGAGACCGATTTTTCAAAGCTTGATTATCTTAAAAATTGGTAAAAAAATTACCATTGGTTGTATTTCTTGTGAGTGGGTCATTTAATATAATTAGGCGGTTTCTACGAGCCAACAAGAGTGATTTATATGTTTAAATAACTTGTCCCATGATTGTTGCAAAAAAAAAAAAAAATCAAGTTTGCATTTATATTTAATAAGCCCTGAGAATTTTTTGAATTACCTTTTCATACTGCCACAGAATTGAGCCTGTATATACAGTAGCTTATAAGGGTCGGAATTGGTGGACATGTTTCCTGTCCCCTCACTGACTGCAGTATTAGAGTGCATGTGCAATTGGGAAATGTCTCTATGATTTTTGACAGCTTGTATGACTTTACTGATTCGGCACACTGTGGCTTTTTAGCCGTTTAGAGTCGAGACACAGGCCATTTGCACTCTTTGCTTGAACAAGAGGCCCAATGGGCCTGCATCGCTCACCTGGTATAAATCTCACACTTGTAATCTGAAAAGTGGACTAAAATAAATCTACAGGCAGAATATCGGTGTTTGATTCATAAGAAGCTATTAAAAGATTTGAACATATGATGCCTATGACCTTGAATGTCGAACAAGGACATTAGGTTGAAAGTGGGTCAAGGTCATTCATTTGAACAAACCTAGTAGCCCTTCATCCCAGCATGCTACAGGCCCAATATCAGTACCCTGGGCCTTTCGGTTATTGAGAAGAAGTTGTTTGAAGATTTAAAGACATTTGACCCCTGTTACCATGAAAGTTGGTCAAGGTCATTCATTTGAACAAACTTGGTAGCCTTTCATTCCAGCATACTACAGACCCAATATCAGTACTCTGGGCCTTTCGGTTATTGGGAAGAAATCTTTTGAAGATTTTTATATATTTGACCCTTGTGACCTTGAAAATGGGTCAAGGTCATTCATTTGAACAAACTTGGTAGCCCTTCATCCCAGCATGCTACAGGCCCAATATCAGTACCCTGGGCCTTTTGGTTATTGAAAAGAAGTTGTTTAAAGTAAAATATTGACGACGGACGATAGACGCGCACCACGGCATAAGCTCACTTGGCCCTTTGGGCCAGGTGAGCTAAACAGGAAACAGAGATGTTATCAATAGCTCTTAAAAATAAGTTTTCAAGTAATGTTTGTGTTCAAAACAAACTTAGCCTAAATATTCATACCAAACCGATGAATCTCATTCAGAATGTATACAGTAGCCATTAAACACATAATCATGAATGAGCCTGTCACATGTGGATGTAGGGATACATATCTACTAGAGCATGTTTCTTGAAAAAGAATAACAATTTAATTCTGACCTCTTGACCTTGACATTGAGGCCATGAACCTGAGAACATACAGGGCCGTTTTCTTTTAAACAGCCAAACCGGTCAGACCGCAGTTGTTCGTTTATCAAATAAGGTCGGACCTAGTAATCTGATGCTGCTTTCAAGCGAGCCTTCACAAAGCCTTGCAAGGCCTGCATAAACATTTGCAGGTCCAGCAGGATTTATAGCAAAAATTGTTACATTTATAAACGGTCAAACCAGTTGTTCCGTATAAATGAACAGGTCCCAGGTATGAACTAAACAGTGCTTGTCATGATAACTACGGGTGATCCATGAGATTTTGTAAAACGTAATCACCAATTTTGAAACCAATATCTTGACAAGTGTATGCATGACTTTAAGTTCGACCCCTCAAAATAACCTTTAATCTTTTGGTACAGACCTGGGAATGACACTAGCTAATGGCGATACATATGTACACAAAACTTCATCAAATGATTTGTAGCCAATCTGATGGAGGATACGTCTAAACCTGTAAATCAGATGACAAAAATAATCAGTTAAATTTAATTTTGATCTGTTTTTGTTGCCTAGACCCGAGTTGTGGGCAAATCGAAGTGTAACATATGGTATTGACAGCACACCAACTAACATAAACACAGTGTTTGTTTATGATACAAACGTTCATTGAGTTTCATGAAAAAAATCCTTCATCCGAACTTTCAAAATAGTCCAGACAAATGACAGATGGATGGAATAGCAAACACTTAATCCCCCAGTCTCTATGAAAGAGGACTAAATTTCTATTTTAGATATCAATCAAAAACTCACGTGAAGACAAAACAACGAAGAAGTCCAAAAATTCTCTGAAGTTTACAAATCCAGATTTATCAGAATCCACCAGGAGGAACATGTTGCGGACAAACATCGAGGTTGGTTTCAGACCAAAGGCCTCTGCGAATTCTGTACGTGTCAGTTTGATATCAGCCAGCTGTTTGGCAGTGTCCTGGTCCAAGGGTTCCATCGCCATCTCTTCTGCAGTCCCCTTGAATGCCTGCAACAATCATGGGATCAGATGATTAAATCAGTTGTTTTTAAAAAGACTTGCGAAAGTCAATAAACCAACCCCAATTGGTCATGAGGTCTAGAGCCCTTGATGGCATTGGTGTGGTGGTAGGCAAGGGTTGGAGTTCCAGATTTGTTGTCAACTTACCTCTGACCCCCAAACAGTGTTTGGAAATATATGTTGAGGTATAGTGTTCATTTTGTGGCAATCCATGCATTTCAGATTTACAAAATAAGTGGGTCTAAATGCATTCTCAGGCCTTCCAAAAGTTATACCACGGCAATATGAGGGTCGAGTTCTACTTGCAATTGCCAGTTTTGACCACTGAAATCTCAGGGAAGCCCCTCATAAATTTAGCGCAGATCTATTTATATATGTCACGTGGTTGTTTCCAAAGTGAGGCAGTGAAGATAACAACAATAGCACACCGTCTATCAGCCATGTCGGACTCAACTAGCATCACGTATGATGCAAGTGTAGTATTCCTACCTATATGTTGTTGTTATATATAACGGAATTGATACCTCGTGCCTGTCATGACTTTTGCATGCATCTTTTTCTTTCGCCGCAATGTTTACATTTGGCCTTGTTGATGAGGCGCATGCGGTAAAATTACATCACTGATCTGGGTCAATTGAGAGGTTTAGACTGTCAGGTGACGATTTAGGATTTCTATAACATAATTATAATTTTTACTCTTAGGGAGTGAATTTCAGCAAAATTTGAATCGGTATATTTCATAAGAAGGTATTTTAAACATGTGTATGCCATTTTAGCAAATATGACATTTTTTTCCCCAACCAGCCCCTTTGAGATTTTTTCCTGAAACTTAAACTTCTCCATAGAGAAAGTATTGCATAAGTTTAAGACAAGAATTCCACAGAAGTGGATATGTCGCCTGCGCAGGAAGCTGGGAGATTATGAAGAAATAGATACACTTTTCATTTCAAGAAATAATGCTAATAGTAAGCAATAATCATAGATTATGTTTTTGGATGGCATCATTTTGTTATATAAACTGTTATCTGGGAAGAGTTTTAAAGAACTTGCTATGGATACTCATTGTCTCAATTCCAAGTTTAATTTGTATGATTTGTCGGATGGTTTCCCATAAATAAATGAATAAACTTGTGGATTATGATGTTAAACAGCTAGTGATGTCAATAACATATACACGGTGGGTCAAGTGGTAGATCGAAGCCGTCCAGTATACAGTTTTAATGAAGTTTCTATTTATAGTAACAGTGACCTTGACCTTTGACCTTCGGACCTGAAAAGCAATCCCAAGCAAGCACTTTTGGTAAGGATGAAGTTTGAGTTTGATCGGCCAAAGGAAACTCAAGTTATCGCACGAAAACAGATTTTCTATTTATAGTAACAGTGACCGTGGCCTTTGACCTTCGGACCTGAAAAGCAATTCCAAGCAAGCACTTTTGGTAAGGAAGCACTGCATGAAGTTTGAGTTTGATCGGCGAAAGGATACTCAAGTTATCGCACGAAAACAGATTTTCTATTTATAGTAACAGTGACCTTGACCTTTGACCTTCGGACCTGAAAAGCAATCCAAAGCAAGCACTTTTGGTAAGGAGGACTGCATGAAGTTTGAGTTTGATCATCAAAAGGAAACTCAAGTTATCGCACGAAAACCTCTGTTCGGACGACGATGCCGACAAAGCAATACCTAGATATGTATGTATCTTCAATGCAGTAATGCTGTGTTGAGCTTAAATTGTTCTGATTTTTTTTTTCAATTGCAATTTCACTCCATTTGTTGCACTTAGCTGATTCCAAATTAACCTATCTTGTTAATTAACCACCCAGTACTTCATTAAAATGTGTTAAATACCCTGCAGTCTCTTTACCTCAGAGGTGTGCTTTAAGCTTAGAATTCATAATACAACATACTATAACACATTTGGTTATGTATGTTTACTATGTTAGGAGATGCAAATGTTTAAGATGTATTTTCACTTGGCTTACTTGTCACTATCAATAGTTTACTTTACTTGTTGAAATTCACGCTCATCATCAACACCATTTAAAAATACTTCATGGTAATATTCAGCACTTAATATACTGGAATTTTTTTCATCACATCATGTATCTCTGAATAATTTTCAACATACCTGAAGTGACACGATTCGGAAGAATTGATCCAGGAGTTTCTGTCGTTTGTCTTTGGTCTGAGCATTGTTGATTATGATGTCGTGTCTCATGCGGGTCTGGTTCATTTCAACGTTGATGGAGTTAAGGAAAGTCTCCAGCTTCTGAACAAACTCTGCCATGTCTTCCATGTCAGCAAACTGTAGAATCTTTTAAGAAATCAAATAAACACATGTGAATTAGATTTTTATAAATTTGCTGACTACGAATTATACAAATTATTATATTGGATCATTAGTTCAACTATACAGGGACAAAGTTTGTAAGTAAGTAGCTGATACACTAAGATCTGTCTAAACTGACCTCTCATTAATACTGTGATACATTAAGACCTGTCTAAACTGACCTCTCATTAATACTGTGATACACTAAGACCTGTCTAAACTGACCTCTCATTAATACTGTATGTTAGTGCAGTAGATACTGATGAATCCGGAAATGTTTGCAGAAGCAAATTAAATAGCAGCTTCTGAAATTGCATTAAATAATTAATCTCCTATTAGTTTTTCCATACCAGGTCAATCTCGCCCTCGGCGCGTACAGAACACATGCTGAGAGAGTGATCATCTTCCAGCCATACATAGATTGGCCGAATCTGGTGTTCCCCACGCTGCCGTAAGTCAATCATACGCAGTGGTTTGCCTCGCCTATCACTGACATGTATCTTACGTCGCTGGCTATCAAACCGGACTTTGATGTTTCGTTCTCCTTCCTTGTGTCCAACCCACTCCAAAACTGAAAGAAGGACATTATGTTTTTTATCTTGTAAAACCTGACAGTGTGTGTTTATCCGACACAATTAAGTGACGATAGCATAGGGGTTATCTCATTAATTATGGATAGTTACTTATCAACTTTTAGTATGTGAAAGAACTGCAAGCTCCTGTAATAAAACTAATATTTCAATGCTGGAGAAATTTGCCAAACGAGTTCACTAAAATACCATAAATCCTGGATGCACTTACCATCAAATACGTTTGGTTCAGTACCCTTAAATTTCTTTGCGACTTTCTTTTTCCTCAATGTCATTGATTTTATCCTGCGCTTTGCCAGCAGGATCATTATGCCAACAGTTGCTAATGGAGACAAAAAAATGACATTTACATTTTAAAAGAACATAAGTGATGACTGGACTTATTTTTGCCTTCATTAACATGTTAAAGGATAGATGACATAGTAATGCTTGGACTAGAGATTTGAGGCATTTTAATCAGCCCACGATGTTGCTTAGCAGCTAACTTTGCATTTCACCATAACTTCGACTTATCCCTTTCTTCTATTACAGTAAAACCCCACTAACTCAAACTTATGGGTCCAGATCAATAGTTCGAGGAAATTGCATAGTATTCAGCAAATCTGAGGTTTGTCCAACATTGTAAGTTTTCGATCAGGTTGGACAACAGATGGTATGAGCACTGGAAATATCGCGGATAGATGATATAAGTAACAAGAGTTCCACGAGACGGTACATGATACGCCCGTCAGATGTAGAATGAGCAGTTTGCCACAAAGGGCCATAAGTGCATAAATTTTGGAGAGATAAGCGTCAAATCTTATCAAGCTTGAACCTTTCTACCAAGTTTGAAATAAATCCATTCAAAATTACTCAAGTTATTGAGCGGAAACTGTTGCGGCAATTCTACAAAGGGCCATAACTCCGGAAATAACCAGCAAATAGTTTTGGTTATTGCAAGCTTTCATAGAACTAACCTTAAGTTATTGAACAGAAAATGTTACGTCAATTCTATAAAGGGCGGATAATGGTTATCGAACATGTGCAAGCTTTCATAGAAATGAACCTTCCTATGAAGTTTGAAATGAATCTATTCAAAATTACTGAAGTTATAAAGCAGAAACTGTTTCAGCAATTCTAGAAAGGGCCATAACTCTGTGAATAACCAGCGAATAATTTTGGTTATCGAAGTTGTCCCAAGCTTTTATAGCAATGAACCATCCTATGAAGTTTGAAATGAATCCATTCAAAATTACTGAAGCTATTGAGCGGAAACCGTTTTGACAACTCTACAATTGGCCATAACTGCATAAATAAGTGGCAAATAATTTTGGCTATCCCAAGCTTTCATAGAAATGAACCTTCTTACGAGGTTTGAAATAAATCTATTCAAAATTACTGAAGTTATTGAGCGGAAACTGTTTCTGCAATTCTACAAAGGGCAATAACTCCGTAAATAACCAGCGAATAATTTTGGTTATCGAACTCGTCCGAGCTTTCATAGCAATAAACCATCCTATGAAGTTTGAAATGAATCCATTCAAAATTACTGTATTGAGCGGAAACTGTTTCGGCAATTCTTCAAAGGGCCATAACTTTGTAAATTACTGGTAAATCATTTTGGTTATAGAACTTGTCCAAGCTTTCATAGCAATGAACCTTCCTATGAAGTTTGAAATTAATCCCTTCAAAATTACTCAAGTTATTGAGCGGAAACTAATGTGTGCTGTACTTGTGAAAACGTATCGACGGCGTATAAAAAGGAAATACTGATAAATTTGACAAAAAATGCAATCATATAACCATCATCAGTGAGTTAACTCGTCACCCATGTCCTTGCCTATAACCCAATTGTAATTTTCTCTACACTGCAAAACATATACAGGAATTATATGAATTGATTAGATTTACTTACCTGGTATACAAAGACCCACTGCTAAAAATGTGAGAGCAAATGAGTATTCACTGTTGAAGAAGTAGTCGTAGGTCTGAAAACCTGTACAATCCTCTAAGATGAGTGACGACTGTCCATTCAGGTTTATAGTGGTAGAGATGTTCAGTTGCTGAGGCTGAGGGCAGATGTCTGAAACAAGAGGTGTTCTATCGTTAACATTAAGTTGTACAAAACCTTGTTGTCACAGCAAGTTGAACACCTTGTGAGTATTTCCTGCAATAAATGCAAGTTACAATTAGGTGTGAAGCAATTAAGCCTTAACTCAGTGTTAAACAGTACAGTAATAAAGTAGTTTGATTTGTAACAAAATTTTGACAAAATGAAAATTTAAACAAGATGCCCAATGGGCCTGAATCGCTCACCTGGTCTCCCACACTGGTGGATCTCACACTTGTTATCTTAAAAGTAAACTAAAATAAAACTACAGGCAGAATATCGGTGTTTGATTCATAAGAACTTATTAAAGGTTTAAACATATGATGCACGTGACCTTGAATGTCGAACAAGGACATTAGCTTGAACAGAGTTTATAGTCTTCCAACCATGCTTCTAGCAAAATATCATTACCTTGGATATGGGCAAATGTCATTTGTTTGAACACCCTAGGCCTCTTGGTTATTCAGGAGAAGTTGTTTAAAGGTTTTAAACATATTTGACCCCTGTGACCTTGAATAAAGTCAAGGTCATTTATTTGAACAAACTTGGTAGCCCTTCATCCCAGGATGTTAATGGCCAAATATCATCAACCAAGCCTTCTCTCGTTTATTCAGAAGTTGTTGAAAAGGTTATAAACATATTTGACCCCTGTGACCTTGAAAATGGATGAAGGTCATTTATTTGAACAAACTCGGTAGCCCTTCATCCCAGCATGCTTCTGGCCAAATATCATCACCCTAGGCCTTTTGATTACTGAGAAGAATCTGTTTAAAGTAAAAAGTTGCCGGACGACGGACGGACGGACGCAGCACCATGCCATAAGCTCACTTAGCCCTTTGGGCCAGGTGAGCAAAAAATCATTCATCGATCTTTAACATAGGATTGATGGTTCAATTACGGTTACCCATACATACCATTGGTTTTATGTATAAAGGGGTCAGTCTGGATCTGGTTCTCATCCACATTGGTGACATTCTTAATGATGTCAAATATTGTAAAACTATTGATTCTGTCAATATCCGCCTGGGAAAACAATCTGTAAAACCAAACACAATAACATTAATATACGCAGTGAGTGGGTTAGCAATGGAAATACATAACTGTTGTTGACAAAACAACACTTATCTCTGAAATCTTGCATCTTAAAATGCATGTATGCTTTTGAATTCAAACAAGAGGCCCAGAGGGCCTGTATCGCTCACCTGAATATTTAAGCAGTCATAGCAAGGTATTCTTATCCAATATTATATTGCACTACAAAAATTTCCCTCGCAAACTTTGTCGGCTCCATCTGTTGAAACTACCAGTCAAATATTATTATAAGATTCTATGCTTTTTGGTTCTTCTTCAGAATTTAATTGACATATTTTTCCCTGTGACCTTGTACATTTGTAAGTAGGTCAATGTCATTTTCCTTCTCATACTTTGTTAGCTCTATCCCAAAAAGCTACCAGCCAAATCTTATGAATCCATTCCATTTGGTTCTTAAGAACAAATCCTTTAAAATGCTGTTGATTTCTGTCCTTTAAGGTAGGTTGAGGTCATTTTCATTCACAAACTTTGGTGAGCTCTATCCCAGGAAGCCACCAGCCAAATATTATAATTTAATGCTTTCAATTATTCAGAAGAACCCGTTTGATGTTTTTGACATATTTAACACATGTGACCTTGAAAGTAAGTAAAGATCAATTTCATTCTCAAACTTTATCGGGCTCCATCCAAGGAAGCCAACAGCGAAATATGAAGATTCTATACCTTTTAGTTCTTCAGAAGAAGTTGTTTGAAGTGTTTTACATATTTGACCGCTGTGACCTTGAAATTATGTCAAGGTCATTTTCAAACTTTGTTGGGCTCCATCCCAGGAAGCCACCAGCCAAATATGAAGATTCTATCCCTTTTAGTTCTTCAGAAGAAGTCGTTGAAAGAGTTTGACACATTTGACCCCTGTGACCTTGAAAGTAGGTCAAGGTAATTTTCATTATCAAACTTTGTCCAGCTCTATCTCATGAAGCCAACAGCCAAATATGAAGGTTCTATACCTTTTTGTTCTTCAGAAGAAGTCGTTTAAAGTGTTTGACATAATTGACAGCTGTGACCTTGAAAATATGTCAAGGTCATTTTCATTCTCAAACTTTGTCAGGCTCCTACCAACGAAGCTATCACCCAAATATCATGACACTAGGCCTGTCCATTCTTCAGAAGAAGTCGTTAGAAGGAAAAGTTGACAGACGATGCGCCATGACATAAGCTCACTAACCCTTCGGGCAGGTGAGCTAAAAATTAATATTTCAAGAGTGATATTTTCAAAATGGTTGTTTGCTTTTAACTGCTGAATAACCCTACAGCCAGGCAAGCTATATAACCTCCTTTTTTTGCAACAATTATGAAAAAATTCTCATTGGCTATTATAACACAACTCCTACAATCCAGGTGGAGTTTAAAATGGTCTGGGGTGGGTGTTGCTGTACCTGTGCTGTAGATAGGGTGCTATATCAAATGTTGTATATTATTAAAGAACAAAAGTATACGCCCGTCAAATGCCATATTGTGTTATATACTTTCTTACATTGAAATAAGATCTAAGATTCTAAGAGTGGTTAGCTGACGTGCTATAAAAAATGTAGCCTAGGAGAATATCTCCGGACAAAAAATCAAATACTGAAATGAACAAAGGGCAATTACTTTTGCAAAAAGCGTTGAATCAAAATTCTTTTATGGGAGACACAACTTCATATCATGATGATAATGTATATCAACTTGAAAGAGATCCGTTGAAAAATGTAGGAGGCTATTGCCAGACAAAAATCAAATACTAAAATAAACAAAGGGCAGTAACTTTTTCAAACTCATTGTCGAATCAAAATTCTCTTAAGGGAGACACAACTTCATATCATAATTATAATGTATACCAAGTTTCAAAGAGATCCGTTGAAAAATGTAGGAGATTGCCGGACAAACAAAAGTTCACATTAGTGTTCAATATTAATGTCTTACCCATTATCCAAGTTTTCGTACCAAAACCGATCCCCATCCCTAACACGACAGAATTGGTCGACAAGGATGGCACGGAAGAGAGGCCCTGGCCCATCAAATGTGGTCTCCATGAGGCCTCCAGTGAACAGGTCCACGTCCTCAGGAGTAGTTCCATTCAGTCCCTTATCAATGTACAGCTGCTGTAGCTTAGCTATAGCCTGTATTCAAAAGAATTTGACAGGGGAATTATAGCCTAGTTATATATACAGTTATACCCTGCAAATGCTGAGGAAAACAATCAACATCGATCACAGCACCTATATGTTATTCCTTATAGATAGATTTAGATAGATTTATTTGGTAAAACATTGCATCAATACATAAAAGTACATCACATGGGCAATACAATACATCTTTTACCGGGATAACACAGTAAAGTCAGACTTATTTTCACTGTGGTCCCTAACATATAACATAAACACGATCATTTTACAAATACAATTACAAGTCAATACATACATATATTTATCACAGGGTAATATATTGAGTACAAAATTAACATCACCATTATTCTGTGTCACATATGGTAGTTTTCATATAAGCATAAAACACGGTCTCTGTTGCATAAAACGCATTATGTGTTACACATAACTTGTCATAAAATATCAAGAACTCTGCTGTAAAAATGTTTTCATTCTCTTCTTAAAATTTATTTTGTTTGCTATAGACCGTATATCAGAAGGTAAAATGTTCCAAATATGAATCGTGTTGTAAAAGAAAGTCTTTAACATCTGACTTTTTGCACATGGCACTGTAAAGTTTAAAGATGATTTTCTAGTTGCGTATCCATGGCATTCATTAACCCTCATAATTTTTTTTGTAATATAACTTGGACAAGTTTCGTGAAATACATTGAACATGGCTTAAGCCCAATTGCTTTGCTCGGTTTTCAACATTCAAAAGATTCAGATATGTTAAGACTTTACCATCTATTCTCGTCCTTGGCCCAAAATCACAAATAAAACGGACACATCTGTTCTGTGCTACTTGCAACTGGTTTTTTAACCTTTGATTTAAACCATAATACCAGGCTAAGCAGCAGTAGTCAAAATTACATAGCACTCGAGAATTACAAAGCGTCTTTCTTATGTCCAGAGGAAGATTTTTACATTGTCTGTACAAAAATTGTAGACGAGAATTTGCTTCCTTTATTATGTTCTCAGCAATGAAGTCTCCTGTCAAAAATTGATCAATATCAACGCCAAGGTACGTAGCACACTTTTTCCGAAGCTTTTATTGTTTGGCCATTCAAACGAACAATATACATTCCGTCTTGCCAAGATGTAAGGATAATTTGTTGTTTACCAGCCATATATATTACAGTTGGATATTTCTCTGGATAATTTATTTTTAATTTCCTCAGGATCTTTACTAGAAAAACAAATTAGCGCTGTCGTCTGCATACAATAACAAGAGGCCCAAGACAACACTTATCTCTGAAATCTTGCATCTTAAAATGCATGTATGCTTTTGAATTCAAACAAGAGGCCCAGAGGGCCTGTATCGCTCACCTGAATATTTAAGCAGTCATAGCAAAATATTCTCATTAAATATTATATTGCACTAAAAATATTTTCCACGCAAACTTTGTTGGCTCCATCTGTTGAAACTACCAGCAAAATATTATTATAAGATTCTATGCTTTTTGATTCTTCTTCAGAAGTTGCTTGACATATTTTCCCTGTGATCTTGTAAGTAGGTCAATGTCATTTTCCTTCTCAAATTGGTTAGCTCTATTCCAAAAAGCTACCAGCCAAATCTTATGAATCCATTCCTTTTAGTTCTCAAGAACAAATCCATTAAAATGTTGTTGACCTCTGTGACCTCTAAAGTAGGTTGAGGTCATTTTCATTTGCAAACTTTGGTGAGCTCTATCCCGGGAAGTCACCAGCCAAATATTATAATTTTATGCCTTTTAATTCTTCAGAAGAAGCTGTTTGAACTGTTTGACATATTTGAACGCTGTGACCTTGAAAGTAGGTCAAGGTCATTTTCATTCGCAAACTTTGTTTGGCTCTTTCCCAGGAAGCCACCTGCCAAATATTAAGATTTTATAACTACCAGTTCTTCAGAAGAAGTCGTTTAAAGTGTTTGACATATCTGCCTCATGTGACCTTAAAAGAAGGTCAAGGTCATTTTCATTCTCAAACTTTGTTCGGCTCTTTCCTAGGAAGCTACAAGCCAAATATAGAGATTATATACCTTTCAGTTCTTCAGAAGAAGTCGTTTGAAGTGTCTGACACATTTGACTCCTGTGACCTTGAAAGAAGGTCAAGGTCATTTTCATTCTCAAACTTTGTCGGGCTCTATCCAAGGAAGCCATCAATCAAAAATAAAGATTCTATACCTTTCAGTTCTTCAGAAGAAGTCATTTGAAGCTTTTGACATATATGACCCCTGTGACCTTGAAAGTAGGTCAAACTCATTTTCATTCTCAAACTTTGTTGGGCTCTATCCAAGGAAGCCATCAGCCAAATATGAAGATTCTATACCTTTTAGTTCCTTAGAAGAAGTCGTTTGAAGTTTTTGACATATTTGACCCCTGTGACCTTGAAAACAGGTCAAGGTCATTTTCATTCTCAAACTTTGTAGGACTCCTACCAACGAAGCTTTCAGCCAAATATCATGACTCTAGGCTTGTTCGTTCTTCAGAAGAAGTCGTTTAAAGGAAAAGTTGACGGACAGACGGACGGACGACGGACGGATGACGGACGCCGCGCCACGGCATAAGCTCACTTGGCACTTCATGCCAGGTGAGCTAATAATTTACAGTCGGTACTTATGCTCAGTTCCATGTCATTTACATAGCATAAAAATAAAAGTGGTTTATCGCGTAAACAGATATGCCATAACACGGAAAGTTGAAACTCAACAGAAAAACTTGTAATATATATGTAACATTATTGGTTCTAGCATTACCGTACAAAATTTGAAAGGAATTGATAACAATCAAAAAAAGTTCTTGTATTTACTACACAATGCCCTTATTTTGCAATAAAAGGGGCAAAATTAACTCCACCAAAAATGCATGTAAACTTCTGAAATGTTAACTGTCAGAGCTATATTGGTATGTAATGTATGTACCAAGTTGAGTTCAATCAAGCCAAAGGAACTCATGTTATCACATGGAAACCTTGTCTTTCACCTCAATATTATACTAGTTATATGTATATATATATATATAATTAACACCTGGACTGGAGGTACCCCCGCCCCCTGCCGGTGTGTCTATCAATAAAACGCCACAAACATGAAGTATGGAGTAATAAATAAAAGTCAAAATAGAAGCAATCTTACTTCGACAGTTGATGCAGGAACATTTGCAGGGAAAGTAGGATTGATGTCTTCCCAGCTTTTCAGCCTGGGCAGATCGAAGGCCTCTCTAACTGCCTGGTAGTCAGGGAGACCATGGTCACGACCTCTCTGGATGTTCAATGCTGCAAGGTCACGCCGGGAAAACTCAAGGGGCCCAAACACATCACCTGGAATGTCAATTTGGTAAATAATGATTCATAATTAAGAATTTCTATAAATTCAAATGTTAGCGGATGATTTCCTGGAAAACCATCTCACTGAAAACATCACTAGAAATTGCAGAAGGATCTCACTAACAAAAATAGCAATGAAAATCCTATAGGTATTCCATTGCAATATTGCACCAAGTTTTGTTGTTGTTTTTTTGGTCGAAATACTACCGATATAACTAGGGATTTTTTTTTTTTTTTAAGCAGACAATATAAATTAACAGAAATATTAATTTTACTGTTGTGATAGTCATATTTCATTCACAGAAAGTATATATAAAATATTGTGACTTTAAAACATACGTATGGTCATAGAAAAAGTTAAAGATATTATAATATATCAATTTTAAATATGAAATTTTGGAGTGGTTAATGTTAAACATTTTTACTTTTGAAACTCCTTTTGGCACTAAACATTGCTGTACAAAACTGTTTGAACTTTTTCAAAAAGATTTATTAAACATGAAATAAGAAAACTTTCCACAGTGTGATAATTCCTAATCCTGCTTCTGCAACGTGACTCATTTAGCTGACCACTTGCATTGATAGGTTATAATAATAACTTTTCAGACCTTTTTATATCACTAAATTTGTACAGATACCTTAAATATTTTTGTATAGGTCTCTGGTTTATATTAACAAAATATGGATATATCCCTGGGTTGTAGTGGGTCAGGAAATGGGTCATTTATATACATGTATCAAAAGAACTGTCACAGAACAAATTTGTTTTCTATTAGTTGTGACAGATGTGTCCATACCTGCAAGATCAGCCACCATGATATGATCTTCTCGCTCTCCAAGGGTGGATGCCATTCCACGAAACAATGAGTCCACATCCTCTACGACCGATTCCTACAACAGTAGCTCTAAAGTTTTATTTTCACTATTACAATAGTACACACCTGTACACAAATGAAAATTATGTTGTAGTGACTATGACTCTGTTGCCCTAACTTTGATCAAAGGCTAATATCAGTTACTCAGTTTAGAAATGGAGTGTAGTTATAAAGCTTGTTACCAAAGGAGGGCTCTAACTAGATTATCTGTTATGGGTTAAATGTGTACAGTGGTTACCCTGGTGTTACAGGTGTACAGTGGTTACCTGTGTGTTAAAGGTGTACAGTGGTTACCTGTGTGATACAGGTGTACAGTGGTAGCTAATGTGTTAAATGTGTACAGTGGTTACCCTGGTGTTACAGGTGTACCGTGGTTACCTGTGTGTTAAAGGTGTACAGTGGTTCCCTGTGTGGTACAGGTGTACAGTTGGTGCCTGTGTGATACAGGTGTACAGTGGTTACCTATGTATTACAAGTGTACAGCAGTTACCTGTGTGATACAGGTGTACAGTGGTAGCTAATGTGTTAAATGTGTACAGTGGTTACCCGTGTGTTCCAGGTGTACAGTGGTTACCTGTGTGTTATAGGTGTACAGTGGTAACTAATGTGTTAAATGTGTACAGTGGTTTCCCGTGTGTTCCAGGTGTACAGTGGTAACCTGTGCATTAAAGGTGTACAGTGGTTACCTGTGTGATACAGGTGTACAGTGGTTACCTGTGCATTAAAGGTGTTATGTATGTGTTACAGGTGTACAGTGGTTATGTATGTGTTAAATGTGTACAGTGGTTACCCTTGTGTCACAGGTGTACAGTGGTTACCTGTGCATTAAAGGTGTACAGTGGTTACCTGTGTGATACAGGTGTATAGTGGTTACCTATATATTACAAGTGTACAGCAGTTACCTGTGTGATACAGGTGTACAGTGGTTACCTGTGTATTACAAGTGTACAGCGGTTAACTGTGTGATACAGGTGTACAGTTGTTACATATTTGTTAAAGGTGTACAGTGGTTATGTATGTGTTACAGGTGAACAGTGGTTACCTATGCTTTAAAGGTGTACAGTGGTTACCTGTGTATTAAAGGTGTACAGTGGTTACCTTTTGCATTAAAGGTGTACAGTGGTTACCTGTGTGATACAGGTGTACAGTGGTTACCTATGTATTACAAGTGTACAGCGTAACCTTTATGTTTAAGGTGCATAGTGGTTACCTGTGATTTCTGGTATACAGCAGGTACCTGTGATTACAGGTATATTGTGGCTACCTGTGATTACTGGTATCAGCGTTTATCTGTGATTACTGTATACAGCAGTTACCTAGGAGTTACATGCCTACAGAGTTTCCTGAGAATTTCAGGTCTACAGTTCTTTTTTGTCAGTTACAGGTGCACAGTAATTCCATGTGCCTTACAGGTATACAGATGTTAAGAGTTAAAGGCATACAGTAATTACATGGGAGCTACACAAACAGTGATTACCTTTGAATTACTGGTATACAGTAGATACATGTATGCGAGTTACTGGTGTACAGTGGTTACCTGTGGATTACAGTTCTAAAATGGTTACCTGGGAGTTCCAGTAAGAATTACACAGACGGAAGGCATGGACTTGATCTCCAACCTGACCGGGAACCTTGAGAGAGGTACGTGTCCAGTTACAGTTGTCGAGGGCATCGTCACCCCTCAGTTGGTTAACAGGCCCTTGAGGTGTACCCCTGTCATCACAAAGCAGTTGATGTTATTTCTCAGGTTTATTACTTAAGTATAGAAAAAATTGCCAATCACATCAGTTAATGTTTGCAGATATAGGTAAATTCAATTTCAATCTCCTTGTTTTCTATTTCATTTTGAAAATGAGGTCAAAACTTCTGAAGCTTTTAAGGACGGCTTAAAATGACTATCAAAGTTTAAGTTAGCTCTGATATACTGCTGACGTTAACTTTTCCAAGAATTGTAGCCGCTATAGATATTCAAAATGTTGTGGATATGTAAAGCTTAAAGTTGACAGTGAAAGTTAAAAAGCTTTCAATTGAGATTAAACAAAAAATGTTGAAGTTCCGATTATTCAGAATGCTTCCAAAAGTTCTGTGCATTGACTATGTCTCTTCCGGACATCATACCCAAGAAAGTGGTAAACATTTTTAATTTAACCTTTTAATTTCAATTAAAAGCTATTTAACTTGCACTGTCAGCTTAAATGTCATGAAAACAGAATTATTCCTTAAGGATCCCTGTACCACTGCCATAGACTGTAACTAAGTATTGGAAAACTGTTTTTTCAGCATGTTTAGCCTTGATAAATGATTTCTGAAAAGAAAACCATACCTTGTAGGACTTTTATGAGAAATAATAAATAATATATAACAAACAGAGTTCTGAGTGTAAAAAAAATCAACAGGGTCAGACCAGGATTAAAACCCAGGACTTCAGATTGTTATACTATCCCTCTCATCAAAAGTGTCTTGGCCCAACTGTGCTACTGTTATATCCAAACGAAAAGTAAAGGGAGGCTACTCTATATACAAAATACACAATGCAATGGGACAGGGACCCTTAAATGACAAGTTGGTTCATTATAACTTACCGACGCCACAAACCAGGAGTGACAAGTGTGTGTCCGTATCTCATGGCCGACGACTGAAACTCGTGTGTGATACCAGGATGGATGTTGGGATTATAACCTAAGAAATTAATTCATCAACATTTATTGACCAAAGTATCAATACTCAATCATAATACATATACCAATCAAAGAATTTATAAAAGTATTAATCAAAGACTCAATTAAAACATCAACTTATCAATTAAACATCAAAGCATCAATTAAAACATCAAATAGTAATTAAACAATAATCAAAGTATAGATTAAACATCAAAGAATCCATCAAATATCAGTTAAAATATCAATCTAAGTATTCATTAAAAGGTCAATTGAAATATCCACCAAAGACTCAATTATAACTTATATTCTATAATTTAACATTGCTGTATCAATCAAAGTAACTATGAAAGTTTTACGCAATTAGTGCCAATCACTTTATGTTGACATTTGTATTAAACCCTACCTCTTCCACATTGTAGAATAATGTATAATCTTACCTATATCTTTAATGTATCAGTAATGTAGATATATGTATGTATTAGTGATGTAGATATTATATATAAATCTTACCTTTATAAGGGCATGTTGGTCTCTCTGGCGTTGATACTGTATCACTGATATTATAAATTGATCCATTGTCTAGTATCTCCAACCATCTAGGTAGCCAGTCATACACGGTGATTTTCTTGAGGAAAACAGTTATATACATTAGGCCACACATTTTAGAAAAATATTATAAGTTTCCATTTTATGAAATCTCCTTAACACAGAGTTCCAGCCACGAGTTGAAGATCCCAGTGATGTTTACATTTTACATCTGTACTTGACAGCATTTAGGACTAATAGGAGACAAGAAATAATGAACACCAAAGGATTGAAATACGATAGGAACGGAACTAATGAACATTGGCAAAGATAGGATAGGGGCCAGAAAAATTGAACTTGAGACAGGAATCGGATGATGATAGAAAATGACTAGAATTTTGTTTATGTGAATAAAAACATATGTCTCCCCTTATTAGCCAATAGACAAACTTTGGTATAAAAAAATAACAAAGGGCCATAACTATGTATATAGTTTGGCACAAAACCTGATTTTAGTGCGAGAGATTCCACCTTCCCAAGATACATAAATATGGTAAGTTTGGTCAACGTAGGTGAAATTACATGGAACTTGTGCTTGGACAAACTTCGGTATTAAAAATAAACAAAGAGCCATTACTCTGTATATAGTGGGGCATAAAACCTGATTTTAGTGTGAGAAATCCTGCCTACCCAAGATACATAAATATGGTAAGCTTGGTCAACGAAGGTGAAATACCATGGAACTTATGCTCCGGACAAACTTTGGTATTAAAATTAAACAAAGGGCCATAACTCTGTATATAGTGAAGAATGAGACCTAATTCAAGTGCACTGCACACCTTCTGTGGGTAATGCAGGTATACTTTAAATATAATCAATATATCTTTAATGGTTTAAAATTTACGGGCTGGACAAGAATTTACTGAAAATGTTGCACTTAATATTTGACCTTTGACCTTCTGTGGGTGATGTATGCATACCTAAAGTTTCATCAAGATATCTTTAATGGTTTAAAATTTATGACTCGGACAAGTTGCGATGAGAAGAACCAGAAGAAGAAGAAGAAGAATCAGAAGAAGAACCAGTACATACAATCTATCTCGCTTCATTCGAAGGGGAGACATAATGAACAGGGGACATAGATGCTAAGGAATTTTTATGTAAGATGATGAACACTAAACAGGGAGAAAAGCGATGGTGAACAGAGAACATGGTAGAGGACAGAGAATAATGAACAGAAGACAGGAACTAGAGGTTGAATGGGAGACAGGAATGGGATGGTGATTTGAGATGTAATTAGGGCTCATGGAATAGAAACTTGCAATAGGAGGGAATGGGAAACAAAAATGGGCGACTGTGGTAAGGAGTTGAAGTACATGGAATAGGGAATAGAGGATAGCGACTGGGGATGGAGGACACTGTTAATGGATATACATGTAAATGGTTAACAACAGGCCCATGGGCCTAAACGGTCACCTGAGTCTACAGTATTTATTTTTGTTGTTGAAATATGTACCAATTTGAGTAAAAAATAGTATAATGTTAACTTAACTTTGTCAGGACCATGAGCTGATCATTCCTAGACCAATTTTAAGTGAGATCGGCCTATTAGAACTTAGTAGCAAAATAGCGGCCATGGCAGCCAAATTGTATTTCTGATTGACCCGAAAAATAACAACACTTTGTCAGGACCATGAGTCGATCATTCCTACAAAGTTTCAGTTCAATCGGCCAAGTAGAACTTTACTTTAAGTTTGAAATAGTTTTTCAAAATGGCAGCCGTGGTGGCCATATTGGATTTCTGATCGACCCGAAAAATAACAACACTTTGTCAGGACCATGAGTCGATCATTCCTACAAAGTTTCAGTTCAATCGGCCTAGCAGAACTTGACTTTAAGTTTGAAATAGTTTTTCAAAATGGCGGCCGTGGCGGCCATATTGGATTTCTGATCGACCCGAAAAATAACAACACTTTGTCAGGACCATGAGTCGATCATTCCTACAAACTTTCAGTTCAATCGGCCCAGCAGAACTTGACTTTAAGTTTGAAATAGGTTTTCAAAATGGCGGCCGTGGCGGCCATATTGGATTTCTGATCGACCCGAAAAATAACAACACTTTGTCAGGACCATGAGGCGATCATTCCTACCAACTTTCAGTTCAATCGGCCCAGCAGAACTTGACTTTAAGTTTGAAATAGGTTTTCAAAATGGCGGCCGTGGCGGCCATATTGGATTTCTGATCGACCCGAAAAATAACAACACTTTGTCAGGACCATGAGGCGATCATTCCTACCAACTTTCAGTTCAATCGGCCCAGCAGAACTTGACTTTAAGTTTGAAATGTAAAATGTTAACGGACGACGGACGACGGACGACGGACGAAAACGGATAGCAATAGGTCACTTGAGCTAAAGCTCAGGTGACCTAAAAATCTGATCCCTTAAGTGATTTGTACTTCACCATCAGTTACCTTTTTAATGTATTGTATTCAAAGACATGTGTTCAACTGTGTGTCACAGTATAATGCTTTAATGGTATGAATACCAGAGCCTAAATAAACATAATAACTATTATTTATCAGATTTGACATTTATAATCATGAAAGTGGGTCAAGGTCATTAAATCAAACAAACTTCAAAGTCCTTAGCTACACAAAGTTGCATACCTGCCAAGTGACCCGATTTCGTCGGGTTACAACCAGGATTTTAGTCCTTTACCCGCCGGGTTACGATTTTTACCCGGATTTCGTCTATTTCACCCGTTTTAACCCGCATTTTTTTCGTATATTAAAAGTTACCGAAGCCACTCAGAATTCTCTACACTTTACCATCCTTCTTCATAAGAAAGACGATCTATTTCCTGGTTCCGTTTCTCACCAACAGGTAAGTTGCGAGTTGTTTATATACGTACTAGAACTGTTTTAACAAATGTTTATATAAAGACTGTTGTTGAACTTGCCGACAAGTAATTAGTCAGGTGTTTTAACGAATAAGTGAGTTGTTTTTACAATTGTATTTACGTAGAATAGATCGTATTTTGAAGGTAACGTTATGTCTTCTTGAAAGATGAAGTCGTTATCGGGACTTGCAGGTTCACTCCACGAAATGCTATTTGAAAAGATAATTGTGCACATATTGAATTTCGTAGGAAAATGAGTTATAGTGTATAAAGTCCCGCGGTTGTGGACCAAACGCTGCATTCTGCACTCTAGTCAAAAACATGCACAGTCATTTGATCATTTGTTTCTGTCAATCAAAATGATCTTAATAATAAGAGTTCAAACCCTACTCGTATAAAACTGATATTTCATATGAGTAGGGTGCAACTTCTTATTGTCAGAACTATTTTAATTGACATAAAAAACGCCTGTGAAAACACAGTATCATATATATTATTATGAATTAATTTTATAAGTTGTGTTGTTGACAAATCTTTTTATTTTTCAGCTTTGAATTTGGTATTGTGGATGAGGATCAGCTAGATCTGCTGGAAGAACAGTTCAATCAATGTAGAATGTAACTTCCAATTTAATATCTATTTTTCTTATATTTGTTGCAAAAAAAGACGTCGCATGCTATAACCCTCTTTTTATTTTCAAAAGAGGGTCATCACCCCCTTTTAGTATGTCCGGGGTTGGCAGGTATAAAGGTGTGGTTCGGTAGAAACTGTGTTTTAAAGTTTGTAACTCAGTTCATCCCATAAAGTCAGAATTGTCTGACAATGAGGCAATCAGATCTGACAAATTCTTTAAGGGCAGACAGTACCATGATATGTATTTGTTGACTTTGAAAGGAAAACTAACCACATCATATATTACGGAAAAAGGCCTACATACCTGATGCATGGCCACAACCCACTTCCTTGCCTCAGTGAACAAAGCCTCATCTGTGTAGTCAGGATGTTCCTGGCTGATCATGTCTGCCCAGAAGTTGTGAAGACGAAACCACATCACACCGAAAGACAGCAGGAAAGGGTTCTCAAAACCTCTAGGATTCCCCAAACCTGTAAGTAAACAGCACATAATTATCAACATAAACAATATCTAAAATGCTCAGGGTTTCACCAGGAATGTAGGGAAAGGTCATATCAATACCATACTGAACCCTCAGGGATATCAAGGTCAAGACCATACTATCATTAACAATATCATACATGCCAGAACTCACGGCGTGAGGCAACATCTCACGGATTTTCACCTCAGATTAAGTCTCACGGCGTGGGACATGAATTTACGGAAAGTTCTCAAACCCTCACGTTTTTTAATGATCGATCGGTGAACCATTTTCCTGTTGTTGTTTACTCGAAGTCTTAAGAGATTCCACAGTGTTTTCAGCGATAAATCACGAGAGCTTTTGAGTAGCGGTCATGTGATTGGTCATGTAATCGAAGAGCTCTTCCGATAACTTTCGGAAAATTTAGCTGGTTGAAATTGCCGGGTTGAAATTGTGAGTTGATTACAGTGTCTTTTACAACAAGTAATCTATCTGAACAATTAAAATAAATTCATGTTAAAGATTTAGTGTGATCCTTTCTTGTTGTTGCCATAAATTTCCGTGATACTACAGAAGGCCTGGCATTCTTAGTATTAACCACTACGCAACGGTGTTGGCTTCAGCATCAAAATTGAAGTTGATACCTCACACTGTCAGTAGATCTAGAATTAGCACAAAACATCTTTTCTGTCATGTTTGTAAGGTTAGTTTATTGATAGAAACATTGATAAATACTATATCCGGCTAAGCGTTTCTTTACAAATATAATTTCACTACGAAAGTAAAGAGAACGACCAATAAATATATAAGGGGCATGTCATGAAGAAGATGAAAAAAGTCTTTGTTCTGAATCTGAATGCTGAAATATGTAATTTAAAAGTTCAAATATTGAACACAGTTTTCTTCACTTTCACAGCTGATTATTTCTGTCCTCTTGTTAAATGCATGTTTCAACAATCTGTTACATTATCAAGAAGTTCAAATGTAAATGCACAAAGACAACTATTATACTTATTTTTACAAACCCATTCAAATACATAGTTCAAAGTTTAAACTGAACATCAGTAGTACTATGGCTGCTTTGAATAGTGGCCAGTGTAACTAAATTTCGAAATTTAAAGTAAAATCTGCTTCTTCAGTATATCTCAACTATGTGATATTTTGTTTTGTGCTATTAAATGTATATAATCATATTCAATATATATATAACAAAAAAACTGCCCAAGTCAAAACACTTACTTAAAGATTTTGTGCTTTATTTCATTAATTTAGTTGAGTAAGATAGTCTTTTTGCCTTGAAAAAACGTCGCAAAAAAAAAACTCATTTTCACCGCACTTTTCTTAAAATGATTGTAAAACTCACAGAATGGTCTCCAAGAATTCTGGCATGTATGCAATATGATTAACAAGCCAATCTCATTTACAATCAGGATAGGGTTTGTTTAGGCATTATGCCTGTTGCCCATGCAATTCCTTTTAAATTTGTACAATATTCAATAAAATCTTTCTAAAATGAAATTTACAATTGACATTCTATATTTATATAGTTAATTGACATTCTATATTTATATAGTTTTTAAACCAAACAGTATTAGTCCTTTTTTAAAAAAAAAACCAACTAGAGAGAAACCACTGCTTAAACCAAAGTCAGTGTAGAAAATATAGATCACATATATATGCATGATGGTGTTGTATTAATAAGGATGTATCTGTATATTAAGTTTGATGACCGTATACACTTCGAGTATCATAGAATAGGATTTAAATGCAAAGTCAAAACAAAGGAGGTGAGGTAGGAAGTTTAAGTCAATGTACCAACATATCACATAATGTATGTATTCCTCAAGAAGTATAAGTATATACAAAGCAAGATGAAGATGGAATTGTAGTGTAGGAGAAATGGAGCAAAGTCTACCCACACAAATTAAATGAAGCTGAACAGAAAGTTGAACCAATGTCAGTGAAGCAGAAAAAAGAGATTACAGTGAACAACCTGTTATACAGTGTAGTACTCATCAGGAAGTATCTGGTGACTTTGGAACTTTTATCAATACGAGGGATAGCTATATATATAGGGAGCCAAATTTAAGAGTGAACCAAGATGTATGGATAGATAGGAAAAGCAAACAACACTAATATTAGCTTACATATGATTGTATCCATTACAAAATGATAAGCTCATAGGCATGCATATTTTTAAATACTCTGTTAAAAATAAATATAGTTACGCCAGAATCTTGCAACAGGCTGCAGACGTTCTTCTCTGGTTTGCTCTCTTGGATTTGGTGGATTAGCAAATGGGAGTCGAATGTCATTTATGGCAGGGAAGCTCTCCTTTATTGGAGTGTATTTGCCATCCAGAGCCTTCAGTCGACCTCCCTCAAATGCACGAATAGCATCTGTCCAGGCCTTAGCTGGACCATACATCAGCTGACCATCCAAGTAAGGAGTAATCTCATTAAGCTGAAATTGAAAATCACAGGTAGATAGGCAATAGTAATCAGTCATAAATCACAGGTACAGTGTAAAATGGGCTATTGTAATCTGTCATTTTAATGCCTGCGATCCTGGTTGCAGAAGACTTAATTTCTACACTGTAGGTGCTCAAATTTTTGAAATTGAGATTTTGAGAAATATTATCAGTACTTTTTGAATGGCAATTTGAATTGCTAAATATAACATTGTCAGTTGTCACTACTTTTTGTTCAAATATACCAGATAGTTAAGTTTTCAGTCACTTAATTACCGACCTCAAAGGGCTTGGTCCTCAATCAAAGCTATATTGTAATATAGATGTATATCTTGAGAAATAATTGCAAACAATGTGCAGTAAAATATATATATACAAGTGATCATGAATATAATATGTTCTGAAGTACTAGTAATGTTGTAATAAAACATGAAAAATATTCTAACTGTTTTATATTTTCACCTGTTGACGTGGGTTGCTTTATGTAACAATGCCTCTGCCATGAGTTGAGCCTGGGACCTCTAGTTTACTAGTCTTATGCTCTACCGAATGAGCTAAAGACAAATTCTCCCTAGCCAAGTTGGCAGGAAGCGCCTTGTATTTTACCAAGGTGACATTTACCTGTTGTCGTGGGTTGCTTGGTGACTGCCCAGTTCTGGCATCAAACCTTGAACGAGTAAAAGGCATCTGGATTCCAGGCGTGTACAGAGGATCATTGTCAGGGACAACAATATTTTCATATTCCCTTGGACACCCTGGTCTCTGGACATCCAACATTTCCTCCACTACTTGTTGCCCTGGGAACAAAAACATCATTCATAAAGACGAGTCATTCAGATTGGTATGTCTCACCTGTGCCCCACTTTGGGGTCCATGCACAGAAATAACCTGTATGTTTTTTAGGTAGACAAGTATTCCATGGAAGTGGATGTGTCGCCTGCGCAGAAAGCTGGGAGATTGTGCTTAGCACTGCATGAAGTTTGAGTTTGATCGGCCCAATTAAGGAAACTCAAGTTATCACATGAAAACAGATTTTCTATTTATAGTAACAGTGACCTTGACCTTTGACCTTCGGACCTGAAAAGCATTACCAAGCAAGCACTTTTGATAAGGGAGCACTGCATGAAGTTTGAGTTTGATCGGTCCAAGGAAACTCAAGTTATCGCACGAAAACCTCTGTGCGGACACCGCCGACGCCGACGCCCACACCGACATAGCAATACCTATGTGTCACCAGCTTTTCGCAGGAGACACAAAAATGACTGTCATACTTCTGCGTCTGGAGATGAAAATTTTGGTTAATTTTCCCTTTGGGGCCCCGCCCTGGCTCATAGGGTTGGGGTTGGAATTCCAATTTTACAATTTGAAAACCATCCTCCAGGTCCGTCATGGATGACTTTGAGATAGGAACAAGAGTGTGAACTCCCCAAACCAGACAGGAGTAACTAGTGTTGGGACGATTGTCGCTAATGATCGAAAACTATCGCTCAGGTGTGCGTCGGCGACAATCGATTGAAAACTTGTCACTATCAATAGTTCGAAAATATCCTTCACGGTAATTAATATGACAGAACTATGGGAAGAAAGATCACTCTAGCTATCGCCTCATGGTCATGATTAAAAATGGCAGCCACCGCTGCTGTTAGTAACGACGAGGAATTGCAATTGTATCCCTGTCCAGGGACAGTTAAATCAGCCGTATGGAAATAGTTCCTGTTCCGAAAAAAATGAAGGTTCGGTGGGACCCGCAATAAAATCAAATTTAGACATGCCAACTGTCATTTGTAGGCTATGCAAGAAAAGCTGTGCCAACAAAGGTAAATACGATATAAATTACACCGATATAGTATCTAAAAGCTTTTCGAAATCAAAATTTTCTGAAAGGCCAAGTATTTTGAAATCGTTGATTGATAAACAAAACTAATGACAAATTTCTTTGAAATGGCATAATTTGTTAGAGGCCCACCCTACACCCTAAAGAGGATGTCGTTAGCTGATTGACTGACTGTTGAAAATCGACAAATGAAGTTACTTTTTAACACTTTGTAGTTTTTATTTTCTGTGATATATTTGCTCTCAACATAAAATCTTATGTTTATAGTCATGATACACACATGAAAATAAATTTTGGAAGACAAGTATTAGTGGGTACTGAATATGTTTAAGTACTATAACAAAGCCATCCACTCACCTTGCAGTTAATATGTTACATGCAGGCTAGCATACTACAGTGGGTGACTATAAAGACCAAAAGGTGCATACAGAAGCAGTAAATCATACTACATAATGATGAATGATGGTTACTAGCTAGTGCAGTCTGAAGCAAAATAAGTGCTATTGGGTTAATATACACTTAAAATTATGTAATTTAAAACCAAAACAACACAGGTATACATTAGGAAACTACACAATACAACATATACATATTGCATATATATATATTATAAAAGATATAATAATTTTCGGACTTTTTCTGCACGTGTCTTACAAACCGATTGAACTATTGATAGTCGATCAGTTTGGGCTTCCGATTAATTGATTGTAATTTTCTGTCCGATTCCCAACACTAGGAGTAACTGTCATTGCCATATGGTACATCAAAGTATTGTTGTTTAGGTAGGGGAATGTTATATTAGAAGTTAGATTAAATTGTCGCATGTGCCGAATTACGTACAAATGGGTGGTACGGGATCATGAAAAGTTAATAAGATATGTACTATGAGTTTTAATAAAACAGACTTACACAGGGAATTTAGACAGAGAGGATCCAAAAAGACGGGAGGGAGAGAGATATGCTCCGCAATGGACTTGAGACTTAAGACTTAAGAGAGGGAGTCTGTTCTTCTTGCCATAATCAGTAGGGCAGTCTTAACCATTTTAAATTATCAGGACATTCCTTACCATAATATGTCATCAAGGCTGTCCGACCTCTCTCTGATCCCAATCCCATGATGCCTCTGTGGGCCACCTTACTAATTTCAAAAGGGTTTGGTCGGGTTGGACCAGCCATGTGGTAGACTCCGTCGGCGTAGGCAGTGGGACTCTTGCGCAACAGAATAGTATCTAAAATCAACAGAGAAAAAGAAACAGAACATAAGATAGGAGAGGTTCATCATATTTTACTTTTAAACAAGAGGCCCAATGGGCCTGCATCGCTCACCTGGTACAGGCAGAATATCAGTGTTTGATTCATAAGAACCTATTCAAAGATTTAAACATATGACGCCTGTGACCTTGAATGTCGAACAAGGACATTAGGCTGAAAGTAGGTCAAGGTCATTCATTTGAACAAACTTGTGGTCCTTCATCCAAGCATGCTACAGGCCCAATTTCAGTACCCTGATCCTTTTGGTTATGAAGAAGAAGTGGTTTGAAGATTTTACGACATTTGACCCATGTGACCTTGAAAGTTGGTCAAGGTCATTCATTTGAACAAACCTGGAAGCCCTTCATCCCAGCATGCTACAGGCCCAATACCATGAGCCTTGACCTTTTGGTCATTGAGAAGAAGTTGTTTGAAGATTTTAAGACATCTGACCCCAGTGACCTTGAAAGTAGGTCAAGGTCATTCATTTGAACAAACTTGGTAGCCCTTCATCCCAGCATGCTACAGGCCCAATATCAGTACCCTGGGCCTTTCTGTTATTGAGAAGTTGTTTGAAGATTTTAAGACATTTTATCCTTGTGACCTTGAAAGTTGGTCAAGGTCATTAATTTGAACAAATTTGGTAGCCCTTCATCCCAGCACACTACAGGCCCAATATCAGTACCCAGGGCCTTTTGGTTATTGAGAAGAAGTTGTTTGAAGATTTTACAACATTTGACCCATGTGACCTTGAAAGTGGGTCAAGGTCATTCATTTGAACAACTTGGTAGCCCGTCATCCCAGCATGCTACAGGCCCAATATCAGTACCCTGGGCCTTTTAGTTATTGAGAAGAAGTTGTTTAAAGTAAAATATTGACGCTGGACGGATGGACAACGGACGCCGCACCACAGCATAAGCTCACTTGGCCCTTCGACTAAAAACCATAATCAATTCATTAAAGAAGAGAAATGCAACGTTAGTTTCAAAAAAGTTGATTATATAAAAACTGTTTGGAAGAACATAAATCTACAGCAGCTATTAACATTTGTTTAGCTACAGGAACCAAAGATAAAAATATCATGATCATAAGATCAAAGAAATCTCAATACTGCTTACACTTGTATGCATAATATGGAAAAAAATCGTGTTTACCAAAATTATATTCTACATATCTATAGACTACATGTTTTCTTTGATTATCTAGTATACATATGTAACATTTTTAATAAATCTTGCTCCGACCAGTGTATGATTTACAAGCAAAAGTAATGCTACAAGTGTATAATGCTTACCCACGGCACCCCAGTCCGGGTGGAGCAGATTGTTGTACCAGCCATCTAGGGGAGCTAACTCCGGCTCGGTTTCCTCCTGTGCTGATACTGTAAAATAGTAAGTCCATGTCATTGTGTCTGATAATTAAGTAGATTCCATGTGCTTTGTACCATTTAATTTTGTTTGTGTTACTTTTAGATTTTAGCTGCATATATAGGAAGTATCGTTCAATTTTGCTTTAATTACTTACCTTGGCTAGCGTAAATGAATACAGGGATATTCATCATTAAAAAAGATAAAAATAAAAAAAAAGAATTGCTGCTGCAATTATTTTGATGTTAAACTGAAAAATGACCAGACTATTTGACTCTGGAGCATATATGTACATATGTATACATATTTTGATATAATGTTCATAAAAACAGCTACACAGTAAAGTGTACATAAAATGAGCCCAGGATGATAAAGCGTTAAAGAAGTTAAACTAATTATGTTGACTCTTCATCCAATATAAGTTGAAATTAATTGTTTCATTATTGATGTAAAATATATAAAATTTATATTTCATATCAACAGTGTAACACAATTGTCATATAAAACTGTTACTTTAATACGCCCTATAGAATAACATACATAATAGATTAAATATCTTGTATACTAGGATAGATGGTTTCGTTTGATGAACAGCTAAGGTCATTTAAGGATGTGCCTCGATTATTATTTGTAATGCATGCGTGCATTTATGTAGATATATTTGCTTCTTTGTATAATAAGAGCGGACCTGATGCCGACTTAAGAGTGCTACCCCACTGAAATACGTTGCCGAAGACACCGAGCACAGTATTGCACCCGGTCACATTGTTCTGACATCGGGTACACCAGATGTTGTGATAACTCTAAATGCTGAACATTAAAGCAGGGAATAACAACTATCATTTTAAGACCTAGCTACCTCAGATTGGCGAACGCTCAACACTTAGGCCAAAAGTAAGGTTTTGCCAAGCAAGGCACAAGGAAACAAAAAGGTTGTTTTGAAGTAGAGAGATAATATAAAAGATCCCAAATGTTGCAATTGGGGTAGCAGGTCAATTGTGGTTTAATTCTTCCATATCCACTAAGTAGATGACGAAAAACCCCAAATCTGCAGGGTCCCCACATTGGTCGCCTTTACAACATGTTATGGGACAGTAGAACCTGCAGGGGTGAGGACAGATGGGAACGGAGCCTTTGTTAATATAAACACAAATAAAATCCTTTAAAGAAATTGAAGCATATGCTCAAATATTTGGATTCAACAATACTTGTTATATAAAATGGAAAATATTTAAATCAATGATGCAGCTAGGGTCACTTTAGTGATCGTATGTTGTCGATGCTGAATTTGACCTACATTTAATTCTTCAAAGAGAGACCTGACTAAGAAGAAATTATTTAAACTACACATAAGCTTAGGTTTGTCATTATTTGGGTACTATCATAAATCTTTCCTTTTAAATTATTTGATGCTGTAAAAAGAATAGGTCTGTTATAATTTTGCAGCATCAAAATACTATTAATGTTGCACTATTGCTCTATAAATTTGAACTTGAATGAATATATTACAGCTGTGCTATGTATCATTAAAATCAATTGTATAATATGCTAAACCCAGAGACGTATATATACTATGTGTCTGGATATACCGAAACTTGAGCATCTAATCCTGACTTGTCTACGGAGCAGGAGATATTATGGACAATGTCTTTTTGTTTGATAGGAATATCGGTTGGGACTTAAACGATAATCTGCGTATCAGTTACCCATGTCTACACTTGCCAGATAGTAGGAGTGTAACAATGCATCGAAATATCGATAGATTGCAATAAATCCTTCCCAATATCAATGCATCGATTGTATATTAAAATTCAATATTTATTGCCGATTGTTCCGTCAGATATCGATTGTTTCAATAGTTATTAAAAGCATCTTCTCGGAGCCTTAAACATGTAAATATTCCGGTCTGGGAATTCCCCCGAAAATGTCCGAGTCATCACTACGTTTGTTCCGCATCGCTAGTCGCTACACTGATTTAGGGGAGGTCACTCTCTGAATTCAGAGAATCTTTCCACGGCGGGCGACATTGTAACTGCTCAGAGGTCCGCATTGAGACCTGACTATGTGGACAAGCTAATCTTTCTAAAGAAGAACTGGAAACTGTATGTTGAACAATGAACAATACTAGTACTGAACTAGAGGCGACAAAGCTCTATAGAAGTGTCATTCTCTTGATTCTAAGATGGACAAATAAAAACTAAAAAGCGAGTTTAAGTTTCAATCATTTGTGGATTTTTATTATTTTTACATCTGTATTTATCAATTATAAACACAATGACAACTGACAAATAGAAACATATAAACCAGGCAGTAAGTTGTTTTAGAGAAACCCTAGATAGCATTAATTTACATTTGAAATTCGTGATTTAAAACATAGTTAACATACTACGGCTTAATGTTATCTAACCAATAATATTGCAATACTATCGCAATAAAATGTGCAATAATAATAATATTGCAATAGTTTTTCCGCGATAGCAATAATATTGCAATTGTGAAATTGGCCGCAATAGTCACCCCTACCAGATAGATCCCAACTCATAATAATTAATTAAAATAAGATTTATATAATAATCCTGATTTTTATGTTACCGTAAAAACCCATGTAATTTGCGCACCTGTGTAATTTGCGCAGGTACTTTTTGAGGCTGAAAATCTGGAAAAATGCTTCTACTAGAATATTTTGCGCACCCAAAAAATCTGGAAAAAAAACGATGTTCATGCTCCGAAAATCGATCTCTGAATATTTAAAAAAAATACATATTTCTATGATTTTTTTTTCATTGATGTAAAATGATATTTAAAACTAAGAAGAAACTACGTAAAATGTGCATTTTGTTGCTTGTTTTCTTTGAATTATGATATCTGATCACACATGACACACACGTGTGCGCATATCGGCATACATCAATTCATTTTAGCCATATTTTACATAAAACATTTACTTGCTAACAAAAACATATCAATTAATAAGTAATTCGATGTTTAGTAACCGCTGGTGCATATCTCCTGGTGAAAGACATAATTAGATACCTTTTATTGATCATAATTACGATCAGTGAGAAGGGCTCATCATGGCAGCTTGGGTTACGTCACTTCAAACCAGGTCATGTCACAGTTCAGTTTGGCCACGGAATCAGATTATCTTAGTCCGTGGTTTGGCGATATTTTTTACAAATTACAATGCAGTAATTAGCTAACACTATCTCTGTGATTACCCGTTAACAATAGCTCTACTAATTGAAATGATTTGCAGTCGCGATCGACGGACCGTGTTGTTGTTTTTTTCACTCGCCAACACGTGGCGTGAATTACGAAGCCCTACTGCATTGTCATAACTACAGACTGATTTGACTGATAAGGGATTATAAAAAATATGTTTATACTAGAAGCGTGGACAATCAATACATCCTCTTCAAATCTACTCCAAGGAAAAAAATAGTTAACGCAGACTATTTTTACGATGCTTCATTTAATAAATATTGAAATAATTCACGAGGTTATTATCAATCATGTGTTTACGTAATGTTAGACGCGAGATCAACATGAAAGTGAGCCGGAAAAAAACCATACTATACGTATACGCATAGGCGATTTGAAAAAACCTTACAGAACTTACATGGAACGGAGCTTAAATTGAACAACTACATTTTCGTAATAGTATGGGGAAACGAACCGAGATGTCGAAACGTAATGTCGTAAGTTGATCGGCGATTCTCTGGCATAGGAATTTGGTTAAACTTTTTTGTTAACGGTTACCTATTTAATAATACTTTTCACATAAACTCACATAACAACATTATGTATCTTTTATTAATGTTTGACATAAATAAATTTGTTGATCGTCATTTGTCTTAGAGTTCCGTGTACCAAGGGAAATAATCCAAGATGGCGATCTCCCAGAATCGTCGATCTTTTCCTGAAAAAAACTTGAAATTTTCTATACCTGTGTATTTTACGCATCCCCCACTTTGGGTATTAAATTTCTGAAAAAAAAGTGCGCAAATTACATGGGTTTTTACGGTAATGATTTCCTAAACAACTACTGATCCGAGTACATCTTGACTAAATTCGATGATCTGACCACGCAGGCTTTTTGAACAAGGTTAACTTGCCAAAACTTTAAACTTTCAAGATTATTTCAGCACAGGTCGCCTATGTATTTCCCTTGGTTAACATTTACAGTTAGAATATGGCCAATTATCTCTACCAACTGATCGAATACAGAAAATGTTTCCTCGTTACCACTTTTAAGTCATATGTATAAGAAAGGTCTGCCAAATATCTTATTCTTTGACAACTTTAATTTACTACAAATATATATAGCATTAATTGAGCTTTCTATATCCACTGCACTACACTGTCTTCATATTATTTGTTGACATTTTTCTGCTACAACACATCTTCATCTTGTAAGCTTCCTCCGTCTATACCGACAATTACAGAATTACATAATTATTATGTACAGTGATTTTTATTATATTTTTGTTATTTGCTATAGGATAAAAACAGGTTAAAAGCAGTGAGTGAGTGTTAGTTATGTTGTAGGTTTTGTATATATGTTCAATTATGTTATATGTGGTGCATGTCCTGAATTCAGCTAGTGTTTCTGATTGGATTATTGTTTTGGGTAGGAGGTTCCACTGTGTTATGGGGTATGGAAAGAATGAGTGTCTGTATACGTGTGTCTTTGGAGGTGTAGATATGTCTGTAACTAAGGTCGTGTCCTTGACGTGTTCTGGTGTCTGCTGTGATGAGATTGTTAGTGTGTATTGCTACTTGTTGGTGTAATATTTTGTAGAGAAGAATAATGTTCTTGTTCTGCGTGCGTGTAGTGTTGGCCATTGCAAGTTGTGTATCATATCTGTGAATGAGTTTCCTCAAAAGATGCTGATAACTGAAAAGAGTCTGAAATCTTAATCATATCTTTTAGAATACTGTGTTTAAAAAAAGGTTAAACATTGTTATGTCGGTTGGCCTATTATCCAGGAAATTTGTGTGATATGTCTTAAAT